AGTTGGGATCGAGAGATGAGTTTCGGGGGGTTGGGGCATTTTGCATGGACTCTGAGGTCTCGGGTGCGGTGTCGAAGGTTTGTTGGGATGTATTTGTCTGCTCGAAGTGAGGGACTTGGAGATGAGGGGATCCGGATGGTTGAGCCATTGTGTTTATGTATATGTTGATAGTTGTAGATGGATGTATGGATATGTTTCAAGATGGATTAGATGATGAATCTCAACTGAATATTAAAAATTAAGTAGGAATGATATCATGAGTTTCCAGCCTCAAATTGTATCCAAAAAGAACCGTTCTACGACCTCAGAAATACGAAAAGAACGAGAAAGTTTTCCACACATCTTGTGGGGGAGTCGAAGACTTATGGGAATGGGATTTTCTTAGTGCGAAAAAAAGTATGACCAAGGTTATCTTACAATCGGTACTTGAATGAGAAGTTGAAGACACTTTGCTCATTGAATGATAGGTAATATGGGGGTGTATCGGTACATATTTCCCAAGATCTATCAGTCTGGCACTTACTTGAGCTAATCCGGCACTTGAAGGTCGTTCGTGATATTTTTTGAAGCTATTTCGCTTGGCTCCAACTAAGATGTACACGTATCCTATTAGAATACCCGCATTGCTTATCTACACAATTATTAGGATATAGATACTATCCACATGGAAGAGACGGGGTACATAGATCTCCATTATTGCGTCATGGTGCGTTTTGACAGATGAGGTGGAGAGGCTTTGGTGTAGTATTGCGGAAAGAACGAGACATGATAGGATGAAACTTTCGTTAGGAAGTTTGAGTTTCTAACAGGTGTAAACTTCGTTTTGCTGGCCAGGCCAAAGATTTGAAATAAAATTGGTGATCCAAATACTGAAGAGATGATGTGCAACTGTTCATTGACACTCATGTTTGCACTCACCATTTGTTTACCCCTTCTAGGAAATGAAGCATTAAGAGAAAAAAATAAAAAAATAAACAGTTTTCCATCAACAAAATACTAATAGGAAGTTATCAAATAATTGCCTTCATATAATTGAAAGTGCTGCATCTTTGAATTCTTGGCAAAGAACGTTGGGTCTTCAATTATTGATTAGAGATTCCCAAAAAGGTCAAGCAGCCAAAACGCTCCTTCCACCATCATTAGTGAGCCTAGCTCTCACCTTTATCTTAACATAATCCGTTCCCAGTTTTCTCAATTCTTGACTGTCATTGTCATTATCTCTTTCGATTGCCTTTCTGTTTCCTCTCTCCGACAAACCATTGCTACTCTCGCCGTTGATAGTTAATGTCGTTGTATCGACAGATTCATCACTGGGTAGTGAGTTGATTCTATCACAATCCTTGTAGATCATTGCTTCGGGTGAGAACAATAATGCTTCACCCACTCGCAATGTTACAATTTCCTTGAATACATCTCTTCTCGTTGACTCATCATCCTGAGAATTGGATCCCGAATTATGTAGTGCGGCAACATGTGAACGAAGACATTTGAGCCATTCAGGACTGGAAAAACGATGAACAATAGTCATGGAGCATAAATCGATGAGGGCGGGAGAGATTGTTGGTTCTTGGGTTGAGATAAAGATCCGTGTACCTAAATGGCGTTGGAGACGGATCGTGGATAATAAATTACCAGTCAAGGCATCGTCTGTATTATTCGACATATACTAAAAGACGCCAAGAATCGTCAGTCACAGAAATTTCCAAGCGCGTTTTTTTCAGGGAAAATCATACTTTGTGGGCCTCATCAAGGGCAACAACTTTCCCTATGTTGGATTTCTCTTCTAGAAATAATGAGAGACACATGTTGAAGAGAGATGATGCAGCTTCAACGGTCACACAAGGACATGAAAGATCAACGATGGTAAGCTCTCCCGCCTACGGTATGTTAGTTATGATATTAATGCGCCCAAAACTGTAAGGAAAGATGTAACCTTTATGCTCCAATCAGTTCCTTTGCCTCTTTTCAAAGGGGCAGGGGACATAGTTTTCCTCTGCTCAATTGGCATAAAGCTTTCTAGTGTGTCCAATCGTTGTGTGAGCGGTCCTTGCTGACCATTTGTCAGTCGAAGATCCTCAAGGTGCTTCTTGAATTCTCCGTAATGAAAAGGCTTTCCGCTGATTTGGTGAGCAATCCGGAGAACCCGTAAGATTCTAGTGATGCTATGGAGATAGAGCGGCAATTCTTCTGATGTTTTGACAGCCATCAAGCTCAACATTCTTTGCGTTGTAAGATCAGTCTCGTCAATACATAGTTCTTGAACTTTAACACCCTTAATATCACCGTATGTGCGCTGAGGTCAGATTTTGTGTGTCAGTAATGGTTATTGGAATGACACTACCAATGATGCGTCCAAGAAATCAAGGTCTACAACAGCTTCTCGACACTCAAGTCATTCAATTGCGTGATGTTGACGGAAGAGAACGAAATAAGATGAGAGCTACTTGGAAGGATGCCACAAGAGAGACCAGAGTTTGAACTTACTCGTATGGCTCTAACATTGGTCGGCGGACATAAAACTCGAACTTTTATGTCTGAATTGCTTGCAAGGTAGGCAGCCTCGCAAGGTGATCCTTTCCTGCAACATCAAGAAGTTAGATTTTAGCCGTCAAGTAAGCAAAATAAAGAACATCGGAAGATATCAGGAAGTAAAGAGGCATTGAGTCCATGGATGATTCCATATGAAAGAACGAACTGAGCTTACACATCGCCAATAAATGCATCATAGTGAAACAATAAAGCCGATAGAGGTTTCTTCACCTTACTAACGGATGAATTCGCAAGACAATTTTCCAAAAGGCATGACAGAGTATGTGATTTTCCACTTCCTTGTGAGCCACAAATGAATGAACTGAAAGGTGCAGCTATGTTATAGAACAGCCGTGGATCCTTCCAATTTTCACTATTGGCAAGAATGCTAGATTGTCCGGCTATCAATCCATACTGCTCGATTTGGTTTCGAAGGGGAGCTGTGAAAACTGGTGTGATATACTGCTGATTATCTCGATCATGGCCAGTTGGATCATCGTTGAGTAGTTCAAGATGAATAGCATATTCTGATTCTTCGGTGTTTTTCTGGTTGCTGACCATTTTGACTAGATATTCATATGGATTGAACCAAGTCGATTTGGGAATCAAAAAGCTCTTATTCTCGGGCTTCCAGACGTATTTATAAGAGATTGGTCCAAAGATTGGATAAGAAGATCCCAGAAAGTTCCTGGATATCAAAAGACGGGACATGGAGATGATCTTGTAGATGATATGCTTTGAGAAAGAGACAAAGTGAAAGTCAATAACCCAGCCGAATATTTCCACGAGATTGAAGGAAAACAATAGATCATACACTTCCCGTATGGAAGTAGTTTCCCGTTCCCGACTTTTTAAAACCAAATGCGGGGGGAACATCTGTCATAATCTGGATTGTACGAAACACAATAAAGTATATCCCGTTCTGCCAAGTTCTATTGTTTTCAACATACTGGCTCTGCAAGTAGCCGTTGCTTCCCATGGTATCATCGAAAGGTTTGCTCCCTCGAAAGAAAACAAAATGTAAAAATAGAAATGACCATAAATTATCAATATCGAACTCGAAGTAACCTTACAAACAAAAAAATCATGTGCAACACCAAACAAACCTCAAGTTTCTTCGTGACAAACCTGATATTCGATAAAATAGAGAAGCTAAGGCAACCCAAACGTACTCCTGCTGTTCGTATTCATAATCTGTACAGCTCGCGAGGAATATTCACGTTTGCGCGTGTGAAACTCTCATGACAGCAATGCTTCGTTGGTGGATGTACATAATATGTATGACTACCTAGTAGACCTGTTTGTAGATGTAGTGGATTTGCTCTTGCCCACGGTATGGTCTATTTTGAGTACAAACAAGCCAATCGATATCTTCGATATTCATCAATTAAAAAAGGAATCAAGGTATAAGAAAGAATGTTTCTTTCATCAAACAAACGGATTGATCGACCAAAATAAAGCTTGGAACCCGAGTACACTCAATTTAATAACGTGTTTCCAAAACCTTAAATTTCAATACTTCATCAAAAACACATAAACATTAGATTTTCCAATTTCAATCTACAATGCCTTTACCAATTGTAATCCAATTCAATTGAAAGTTTGATCAAATAATAACAAATGATTAATAATATTATTAATATAAGTTTCAGATAATTCAAGCTCTTTTTAATTGAATTGAAAATTTCGAAACAAAAGTTCGAAAACAATCAAAAAGAATTTAGAAACATATTAATTTTCAACTTCAAAATTGAATTTTCATTCAATCACCTCCAATTCAATAAATTTTCAATCGATATTATTCAAATTTTATTTCTTGATTCTATCAATTAAGATCTATATTTCTATACAGAGTTTTTTCAATTTAGAATTATATTGATTGAATTGAAGTTTTTGATTTTCGGAATTCGATTAGGTGATATTCGAAAAAGTGCTTTTTTTTCTGGACACACGTTATTAAATCGGGTGTATGCATTTTTGTTCTCACATGTGTGGCTCATAAAAAGTGAGCCACATCAGCCACCCCCTCCCCTCAAATATCGCCGCCGAGAAGGCTATTAAATGTTAAAATATATAGGAAGTTCAAGCAGCTAATAGAAAACAACGCATTTGAAAGTGAGAAAAGAAGATTGAGATATGAGATAAATGAAACATTTAGCACTTTGAGTGAAATATGCAACACGGAAAAAGATGTTGTAATTGACCTTTGGAATGTTTTGCGGAACTCTGTATTCGCTTTGAGAGGGTGGATATGCTACGAATGTAGTAGTAATTTTGGAAGATTAATCTTCTCCACATTGAATTGTACATGTCATATCAAATGATCTCAGTAACAGATTTCATGCTTGTAGAGCATGGAGCTCCATCTCTATCAATTAGGATGCCCTTGAAATTTCCCTCCCCTATATACCCAGAAATGAAGGAATAAATATATACAAAGAACATAGCATCATTATTAAAAATAAAACTCATTAAAAGAACCAAGAGTTATTAGGATTTTTACCAGTCCGCCCACCCGGCGTCGTAGCATTAGAAGAACCCCTAGAGGGAACACTCGGGGCTGATTCTCTAATCCAAGCCGGTCTGCCAGATCTTGAGAAAGCTCTCATGAACATTGAGGGAGGTCTTCCAAGAGTAGGACTTGTCATTGAAATGGGCGTTCCTGTTGATTCTTCTGAAATCCCTGAGAATCCTGAATTGCCCGAGTAACCTGTGCCTGATCTTCTTAACGGGTTATAGCGATAAGTGGGCGGTTCAAGATTTGTTTTTGTGGAGGGTTTAGTGTCAATAGACTCTGATTTTTGTGGGGTAGATGATTTATTTGAGAGAATTTCGAATGGGGATATCCTTCCTTGTGTTGAGAAAACTCTAGGACTTGGTGATAGTTCTGATATGGCCGGAGATATATTTTGGTATGAGGAATGTTGTGATAATAAGTTGTGTCCTTCCTGATAAAATTGCGGTGATTTCTGAGATGGATATAACCGTGGCGACAAAGTATGCCTGCTCCTCTCATCATCCATCTCGACCAATGGGTTACTTCCAGGAAGCTCATATATCGTGGAACTTGCATCCATTTCAGATGAAGTTGCAAACTTTCTTTGGGATTCTATTCGGCGTGCAGCGGTTGTATAATCCTCATAAGGATCTTCTGATGTTTTTGTATATATTTCCGTTGGTTTATTTGTAAATTGAATAAAATTTGACTGGTTGTTCAGATCAGGAGACTGAAGTTCCACCAGCTCACGAGTTTCATGACCTGGCGCTTCGGCTATCGGTTTGACTTCTTGCATATACGTTTGGTTTGACGAGGGATCTGGAGAAGGGTTCATTGGAGGGATGGATGATGGATTTGGCGATGGTGTCATGCGAGAACCATCCTTAGAGAACGATCCATTGATTCCACGTAGAGCAATCTCTGCTGTAGATATGCGACGGTTGCGACGACGGAAAAGATAAAATCCACCAAGAGCTCCAATGATGAGAACAGCCACTAATGCCACAGCAATCCCACATATAATTCCAATTGACAGATGTTTAGTGGGATCAGTAGAATCAGCGCTGGATGAAGACTGCGACATAGATGAGGAATTATTTGTCAAAGTGGGAGATATAATAGTACTGATTTCAGAACTGGAACCATCAACAAAAGAACACTGACTGACAGTGAAATTTCCACGTTCATAATCAACTGTGAGGTAACTAAAATCATGTTAGAAAGATGTGTAGATTTGTAGAATAAGGACTTACGCTTCTTGTAGAAAAGCTCGCCCTAAAGTATTCTGACTTTCATTGGCCGATTTTCTGAGAGGAAAATAATAAGTATCATTTGGAACAAAAGGATATGAAGCTGATAGAGCAAAAGCATTGAAAGGTAGTACGATAGAAGCGATGTCACCACCTGTCAATGAATTCGCTAAAGAAAATGTAACTTGAGGGTTGATAGAGGTCAACAAAGAGTATTGTGTAGAGTTGATCAAGTAGAGACCATTGTTGTCTAATGAAAGACCAAAAGCTTTCTCAAATTCTTGGCAAACTGCTTCAGGAAGCCAGAAATTTGGATCGGTTGACTCAATAAAAGCATAAGTCGGACTTTGCAAAAGGCTAGCTTGTGTTGTTCCACTATATGTTATAGCTTGAATTGCCACAACGATATCTCGATTGATGTCTGATGAAAGAGTAAAGGAAGCAGAATTTGGCGTAAATCGAGACGTATCATATCCTCCAAAAATTAATTGCGCGTATTGTCCGGCTTTGAGTCCTGAATTATCTTCAATGAGACGGTCGGAATACGGTAAAAGAAGGGATTGCATACGATATTTTGCTCCAGCTGTATAGCTCCATGTCAAACTTGGGATAAGGTTTTGAGACCATAAAGATGAGAAATAGGACTCAGATGAATAATTTCCTATAGTCGTAAAGTTCAATGGTTGAGTACCAAGCCCGAATATTCCTCTTTCTAAAGTTAGCCATAATTTCGAGAGTTCAGACGACTACATACGTATAAAATGGGGATGCTGTAGCAATGGCACCTATTGTTTGATTATTGAGCGTAGGTCCATTCGTCCCTGAAACATATCCCAATCCAATTGAATCTAAGCCAAAGTCCGCAGATTGAGAATATCCCAAATCTGCCTGGAATCCTACGCCATTTCCGTTGATTCCAAATAATCCTATGTCCTCCCAAGTATTGGATAAGCTGTTGTTGAATAGGCCCCCTCGAGCATTCGCACAACCACTTGGTACTGGTGATATGGCTGCAGAAGTGCAACCAATTGGCAAAACTACTAAGGTCTGTGGTGAATTGGTTGATACCAATGCTCGAACATCTTGTGCAGGGCTCCCAACTCTCAATGCCAACGAAGACCATTCACCATCATCACCATCCTAGAAAGATGTAAGAATTGTTTTCGAATTTGAGAATTTGAGAAAAGAAATATCAAACTCACAAAGTATTGACTAGCCGGTATAACCAATGGAGAGGGAACAACACTTTTTGACTTCAACTGATTTTCAGTTACACCATTCAATGGACTGGCTGTGACTTTTAGTACAACAATCAAAGCGAACAGGAACCCATTATGGAACCGTATTTTCATGACGGCTGTTCGACAAACATGAGGGCCGACAATGGCTGGATTGGCAAATACAAGATAAGAATGAGAAGGCTTGCAGAAAAGAAAGAGAGGAATATTCCGGAGGTACTCATCAATGGAGATCAAAATCCTACCACGACAAGCAGGGGTAGCTAGACTCTATTTTATCACGACTACCATTCCGCATGTCAACGACCAGCGCCTTGTCACAAGGCACGGTTAAAAACGTGGTAAAGTATTCTCGTTGAAACTTATCCTGGCATCCATAAGCAGAAGCTATCCAGATCCAGGGGGGATAACTGGGATTGCAAATGAGGATCTTGGAGATATCTGCAAGGCTACGGCGTAGCTCATGGGTCTCGATCTTACCTCTTCTTTATTGAATCAAACTGCCTACGAAAGAAGTCCATTCTAGGCACTGGCTCAGTCAAATTTTCATAAATCAGAGACATTATGAACGTTTAAGAATGAAGAATCACAGGTACGGCGATTAGATAGAAATAGATTGGAGTAGTCATCCAAACATGATTGTGATGGAGGTTTTGAGCGCATAATGGGCCAATGGGTGTTTGAGCCGAGCTCCATAATCTTCCAATATAGTATATCGAGAGTGGGGAGGGGGTCAAATCGAGCATCGCGAGATGAAATGACAAAAAATACGAACGTTAACAGTATCAGTGACTTCGGTGTATACATTTGGTAACGTATGAAAGCAGCTGAATACAAAGCAAGGTATGGAGATAAATTTGGTAGAAAAACGATGTACGGAGGTGGAAAAGAAGTTTGAGATCTCACGAGTCACCACCCCCCTGAAAGAATGCAACCCCACGTTGCACCGAGCGATGGAAGTCACAAGTCACTAACCGCATATAGCTTAGACAAAAAAACGAACCAATTATCATGAGGTCACGTGTTATCTTTGTCACTTTATCAGATGTGCTGACTGCCACCTCTATTTACCTTCTTAACTGCCCCGAAATTTGTTTCCAATTCTAGACACATCTAATACGGAACGACTCGTGGAAAGACAAGCAAACTGCATTTCCTTCTACTTTCGACCATTTCGCCCTCTATCCTGACGAACTTATTCCTGTGTAAGAGGCATACCAAGGACATATAGATTGTGGATATCCGGATTACTTACTCGGATGGCCACTTGTAGAACAACGAACACCCTTTCGTTGGAGCTCGGAAGAAGTAATGTACAGTGCATTCATAACTGGCGAACCAATATCAATCATCACCATTGCAGGTATCAGGACCCACGTGTGCCTTACTCCATCACTTACAATAAGCGCCAAATGATTCGAAGGTTCCGGCTATATGTATAGCAGATCATCATACAAGCGATTAATTTTCAAGCTCGACGACTTGAAATACTCTACCTACACAGGGGATTGACTTGTGTGGATGAGCATTGTATCAGATCATTCAGAAGACAGCTTGATCGAACCTAATTTCTCCTTAGACGATCCGTTTTTTATCACATCTGTTGTATCTCCCCTGAAAATGTTACCGTTGCCGTGGAAGGATCACTATGCCAAGGATATAGTCCCTAACAACCACGAGGATTCGACATGTCCATGTAAAGTTTACAAAAGTAGGATAATGTACCCACAAATACATCTATTTCTCTTCAACAATTGGTCAAATCGTTTATTGTGAGCTAGGTAATTGATTGTTCGTTGAAGTCAGCTCTCCATCACATCTGACCCGGATGAATCTTGGAGATTATTTTTGGCTTCCAGATTAGATTTAAGCTCTATGTCAGATAACGTCTCGAGTATCAAGTTGAGAGGGCGCAATGTTATATCTTCGACAGACGTGGTGATGTTTATTTTGAATCTTGTTGCGTCGTTCTTTTTCCAACCCACATTCTTTTAATCATCATTTGAAATCTTTTCATAATGTCTCCGCGACTTGTATCATCACTATGGGTGATTATACTGTTTCTTAATTTTGGTCAGGCTGCTGGTATGTCCCTATTATTTAGTTTCTTGATATCAAGGGAGAATTGAACTCATGCCTCGTATATAGTTCTTTTTTCAAATTCAACCACTTCCGCAACCCCGGCATCTACAGTATCAGCATCTATCCCTTCTACAATCACACCTTCCGCTACTCTTTCATATGCAAATGTTCAATCAACGACACAGTTTTTTCCTATTACTCCTGGGCCATACTGGGGAAACCAATCCATTCCAATCAATACCTGCACAGAATGGAATCTTAATGGAATCACTCCCCAATTGATCTGGACGCCATGTCATATGTATGAGCAGCTCTCGCTACTCGTTGCCTTGGCTAATATTGGTAAATAGATTCGCCGGAACAGTCCAATTGTCATACTTTCCTCAAGCAAGTGGAAATATATCCTACCCCTCCACATATTACAATGAAGCTATAGGGATTACAATGTGCGTATTTACGTCATTCCAGAGATACTGTTTAATGCTAATGAGTTTAGGACTTCTCCATCAATGTACATGGTCATAAATACCATTAGTGGATATAATAGTTGTGGTCAAGTTGGTCCAACAATGAGCAATGTAATTATTTCGATGAATCCTAGCGATGTCTCTACAATTGCCCGCTACACGGCGTCTGATCAGCAAGTCAATACAACGCCAGCTGCGCTGCTTACTCTGAGCGATATCATTTCAGGATGTTCAACAATTACATTGACCGAATCTTCGACTAACGGTGCTATCCAAAGTATGCATGCTATGGACAATGACTATAATAGATGTTTTCCTGCCCTGGCTATCCCTACACCCCAGATTGAATCACTTGGACTGTAAGTTATTGAAATATTCAAGTATCTAAACAGGAGCTGATATATTCAGACCATATTTTAGACACTGTGGCCAAGATAATGCACGACTTGGTCTTTTTGATCCACCAGGAGCTGTACCCCCCGTCAACGCACTTCTTCCTGTCACATCAGCAACTCCAGCAACTTCAACTTCAATTCCAGCGAGTACCGCTAAATCACCATCACCAAGTCAACCATCAAAAACATCCACTGTCAACTCTCCTTCTAGCACATCCACTTCTGATGTTCAAGTCCCAAAATCTAGTTCAGTGCCTTCAGATACTAGTGTTCCACCCTTAGAGGCATCGTCATCTAATGTACTCTCAACTTCTGTTTTAGCTGTACAAGACCCAACTACTACCGTTGATTCACCACAGCCTGTATCGTCAGTACCTGTTATCCCAGCCAACACACCAATTCCAATCGCAACAATTGCTTCTTCAGTCATCTCCGTGATTCCTGGTGACTCGACAGTAGTTATAGGAGACCAGACTGCCTCTTTAGGTGGAGCTCCTATTACCATTTCTTCTTCCATTGTTCAACTCACGCCATCTGGCTTGGTCATTGCAAATGAAAATGAAGACCCATCCCAATCAAGTATTTACACAATTCCAACCACTACGGCCGTCGCATCAGCGGTGTCGCCAAGTAAAATCGCTACTCTCGCTGGTGGAGAAATTATCTCGGCAATTCCAGGTGCATCGACTTTAATCGTGGCCGGTCAAACAATTACTTCCGGTGCTCCAGCAATAACACTCTCGGGTTCCGGTTCAATTGTTAGTCTTGGGTCTCAAGGTCTTGTAGTCCAAGAATCGAATGGAGTCGTATCAGCCTACAGTATCCCAACTGCTGCACCCGTACCTGCAGTTGTATCGAGCGCGATTGCTACTCTTGCAGGAGGCGAGATTGTTTCTGTAGGGACTGATGCATCAAACTTGATTCTCGGTTCCCACTCCCTCGTTGTCAATGGCCCAGCGATCACACTCTCCAATTCAGCTGTCGCCACCCTTGGTGCTGCGGGTTTAATCGTGCAATATGCTGGAAGCATTGTATCCACCATTCCTCTTTCTGCCGCAACGTCTCTACCAATTCATTTGGCAATATCAGAAGCCTCTGTTACGGAAATTCGAACCAGCGAAATAGTAATTTACAGTTCCGGAAAGCCTGTATCAACATATTACAGTACTTTGACTGACACTACTTCCATCACCGAAATTCGAACTAGCGAAATAATAGTCTATAGTTCGGGCAAGCCGGTGTCGACATTCTATAGCACCTACTCAAGTTCAAAAAATGTAGCCATCAGTGGCAGTAGTACTACAAGCCCTGCAAGCGAGCCCGATATTCTGGCTATTGAAACTGGAAATAGAGGTGCTAGCTCGACTTCAACTAAAAGTGCGGACACATTTGCTATTACTAATATTGTCTTCAATGGTGGTGTTGATGGTTCGAAGAGAGGGTTAATTAATGGATTAAATTTTGTGGGATTACTGGGCGTATGGGGAGTGATGAATACTTTCTGAGAGCGGTAGAAGAAAGGAACGCGATAAGATAGGATATTGATGAATTAGGAAACGATATGCACATTTTAATAATTCCCACCTATGATTTTAGGAAAAATTCAATTCTTATAACTCACTATTGTAATCTTACTATGTAGCTATGTGGTTTACCATCCTGCTTGATATCAAAATTCGATAACTCAAGGAACTTCCTTCATATATATACCCATTTGATCACTATGTGGCGAAGAATTTTTTCAATAATGTTTGACATAAGAAAAAGTAAAATTGGTGTGGTAATAATTCAAATTGATTTGTTCGGTTATGCAGAGTCTATGGTTCCTTACGTTCCTTTTTCTTTAAGGGGGGCACATCCACGTCTAATGTCAGGCTTGAAACGGAATGAAGTAGCAGATAAATGATGGGGTGATTGCCAATGGTTACCGGTATAGAGAATCAAAGTTGTTGTTCACTGACTTTGAGAGATGATAATTCTGGATTCCCATAGCATTTTCCTACTTCTGTTAGATAGAGGCGGATGCTCTCGTGACTAGAATAGAATAAAAGTAGCGAAATATTGCAGAGATTGTATTGCAGCATTTTCCTACTCAAAAAGATGACCCTCCTCCTATTTACAATTCATTGGCATCATAACATAAATATTTTCCCCCCAATTACAAACACCCACCTGCCCACTGTACAAATCCCATAGTACAGGTAAGCTTGGTATATCCACGAGTCCACAATCTAGTACGACTCGGCCATCTGTGAAACGCCAAAAATAAATGAAATGATCCCATTTCCAAACCGCAAGCCACCAATCCCTATAAAAACCGTCTTTGAAGCTTCTCATTAAGTATCCCCGGATTACAGGGTGTAAAAATACGTAAAATCGTCCTAGCCCATCCACCCCCCATAATCTTTTAATTGTCACTCGTCCCTACTAATTTCCACTCTATGACCATATTGGCCTTTGGCCCCGTGCCATTCACTCGTCTCTTTATCTAGCTTATTCGTACCAGCTCTCTCATTCGAATCGCCGCGATTTCTATTCCTCGAGAAACTCCTCTTGACTCTTCCGCTTCCTCCTTCTCCATTTCCTTCCTCCTTTCTTTCCTCTCTACTTTCAACTTCCCCTTTACTTTGAAAACTCAACTCGATAACATCTGTTCTCACAATGTTCTCCTCACTTTCTCCAAATGTACCGCCGTTTGTTCCTCGATTTCGTCCATTCTTCACGTCTTTTCCATTTTTGCCGGAGTATTTCGAGCGCATGTAGTTTCCGGGGTTGGAGAGAGGATGAGAACCCAGATGAGATGGATTTTTATAGGACGAAGAGCTGTGGATTGTTTTCCATTTGGCTGGAATGATGGCTGAGAGGACGGGCAGAGAAGCGGCAATAACACCGAGTGTTAAATCGACTAATGTCCAATCCTCGAGAGCTTTGAAGGACCCTAGTACGTGTTAGTTTTCTATCGTTTGTACTTTGAAAATCCGGCCATGAAATAAAAAGGCCAGATTTCAAGATTGAGAATATAAGCTTACATAAAACATCCGAGCTCAACTTCGTCTGCTGGATTTGTCTCATAATACTTCCAATCATGCTCACACCTCCCACCGCAAAAACAATGTACAATCTCCCTCTAGTCCTCCATCCCATCTTGACTTTCCACAGTACAATGAGCGGGACAGCCAATAGACCAAAATCCATAACGACGTGAATCGTACTCATAATTGTTCCCATTTTTCCCACCGGGAAGCATTTCGCAACAACTCCTTCTCTCCCCAATCGAATTGCGTCCCAACCTCCCCAAACAGGGTTACACAGAAAGATATTCCAGAAGAGTGATACTAGAATATAGATAGCCAGGAGAACTAGAAAGACGTTGTTGAACAAGAGCCACTTATCCGATGTCATAGATGTAAGTCTGCGATTGAAAAGACAAATGGAAACCTTCACCACTCCTACTGCTACGAAGAAAAATATCTTGGACCAATTGGTATAGCGTTTGAAGTATCCATATTCCTCATATGTTACATCCCAAATGTGTTTTCCTGCGCCTCCATATACGACGGCTAAAATCTGTAGTACTGGCCACGTAATTGCGAGGATGACACCGGGAACAATGAAGAGATCGTCCAGACCGAGTCTTAAACCGCGATTTAGGAGACGAATGAGAAGACGAACAAGTGTAAATGTGAACATGAAGAAGATGGATACGGACATTCCGATTAAAATTGACGTGGCGCGGGATTCGTAAACGTAGCCTGGTGGTGCTAAAGGAGGAATGGTAATTCCCTTGTTAGGATTGCCGTGAATGCCGAAGGCGTCATTGAGGTAGGCGACGATGTAGTAGTCATTGGTAGTATTTGGTGGTTGACCGATGAGAGCTGATATAGTACCTGTGGGGATGGTGGTTGCGTAGGTTTTGGTTGCGGAGGAGATAATCGATGACGAAGACGATAGTATCGAGGAGGACATGATGTGGAAGATTGAAGCTTTAAATCGACGTCTTCACTTTCTCCAGTCGATCGCAGCACAATCCAACACCAATGACAACGTAAATGATCCTCAATTCGAGACTCTTGGAAAAGAAGAGGGGAATATCGCGGGGAAGCCTGGCTTTGAGGATCGCATTGAATGATTCACCAATTCTTACATGCAAAACTTTATGGCGAAGAAACAATCACGAACTGCTGAAAAGTGGAAAAGACCTGGGGAAGATAGAAATACAACGAAAATCTTTACTTAGACTCTTTGATTTAGTTCAGATCAAGAAAGTATAATATATGATACGAGCATGGTGTTGAAACCCCTTGAGAATATCCCGTCAGAAACATCGCAGAAGAATCCCATATTAACACGAGCACACGGTAGAAAAATAAGGAGCAAGGAAAGGATATCGTTGAATGTAGGATCTTACTTGACATCCCTTAGAAGTCTTGGAAGGTCCATCCATGAAATTGAGGGGATCTTAGGCACATATCCTTTAGTAACGATAATTTTCCAAGGCCGGTTGGGTTTTAGATCAGTCTATTTGTCGAATGCCGAATCACTCGATCCCTACTACTATCCCGTTGCTGCATTCCTCTACCATCAAGCTTTCAGGAGCACAAAAAAGTCCACCTTTCTATGGATTGTTAGAAGGAAATAGGGTGAAGATGTTGAACTTCAATCCGATCACAAGGAAACCGCAGTAACATGTTCCTTGTGCCCTGTGTAACTTATAATCACCCAGGTCACATCATCACTTATCAAGACATTTTGCCGGCGACTTTCCTCATTCGATTTACCTATGAACGCCAGCTGCTCTTTGCGCACCTATTAGTGGTCTAATCGTACGATTAAGGTTTTCGTGCCGATATGGAAAGAAACACAGACCGTCTCGACTGTGCAAACGGTGTTGCCGTTCGGTACCTGAGGAACGTTTTTATCTGGTCTGAATTACCGGTATCGAGCGATATCTAATGTGTATCAAATGAGCTTCATCTTGCCTTTTCAAACGGTGCCTGGACTTGGTAGCGACCCCTCAAAATACCACCATAGGTTTTCTGGGAAAACCTAAAACTACCTTGAACATCGGTCTACCAGAATTTGGGTAATTCTTGTGCAACAGTGGATTATCACATTTGCCCCCGGCCTCACTGTCGGATGAATTTCCTAATCTTCATTCCTATATGTAGATCATTCAAACGCGGAATGGCGATTTGTTAATGGTTATGATAAGTGGAAGGTTTTGAGAAATGCTCGCGAGGCGAAATTTCGGGCTTTCCACAAACTAATGGCAAAAATTGGTTGATTAAGATGATGTGATATAACAAACTTTTGATGGGGAAGCGAGGTAAGAATTCGTACAGATCTCCTTGAAAATGGATAAGACGATCCATGATCCACGGCTAACACATAACCTTCATAACCTTGTACGAAGTACGAGTCCGACTATTGGATAGAGTACGAGGGCGTGTTTTTGATGAATGCCAGGCAAAATAACCGAACTCACTAATATTTACTATATGATTTTTATAATGAATATAACTTTATAAATATTAATAACTCTACTTTACTAAACTTATATATGAATCTTGATATAAAAAATTATTTAAATTTAAAAAGATTTTTCAAATACTATATTTATTTCAATTGTTATTGAATTTCAAAATAGATAAGTTTGTGCTTATTTTGGTAAGGAAATGTCCCTGCGCACGGATCCGGCATTCATCAAAAACACGCCCTCGTAGGTATTCATAGAAAAAAGACACGCGGGAAAGTGCCGGAACGATGTAACAATGAATGAATGCATTGTCATGGTCTCTCGATCTCTTTCATAAAATGAAATTTGACATACGTATTCATTGCGAGAATTATTCAGGAAAACCTGAACAATTTATTGTCCGATTTGAACCAATCCACTTGATCATGGTTACCAGTGTTGTGCTCCCAAAACAAGAAAATGGTAAGACCGCAAGTGGCATATCTCGTGATCATGACTCGCAAGTTTACGCACGATGCCAAAAATCGGTTCAAAGACACAGGAAAATCCCTACTAAACCATTGCTAAACCATTGCTAAAAAATTCTCTTCTAGTTTCATCCAGTTTAATGCAAATTTAGTACTTCAGTAAGTTTTCTTCATACAAATTTCGTTTCGTCTGCTCAAATTTCAAAACTTACGGGTTTTGCCTTTATTTATATACGCGAGGCGTTTCGTCTTAACTACAAACATCACATATATAACGAGACCTTGCTCTTAATATAAGGGTTCCTTGAGAATCACTCGGTTCTGACATTTCAACGGTCTCGATTGAGATTCCAGAATTCTTCCATGTCAATAAGAGATGAACTTGAGCATACAGCGGTCAAAGTGACAGATGCCCAGAGAATAATCCTTACGCACATGCTTTTAGCACATGCTTCTAGCACTTAGCTTGGAGAACTATTGTACAAACGATATCGGATACAATATCATAATTTCCTTCAATCGCACTTTATGATGGGACAAATTCTCCGTCTCTCATAATTCTCATCGGTGGGTAATCGGTGGGTAATCCGTGGGTATTTCAAAATGGGATATGATCTACAATATCCGATAATAATGCTGCGGAGTTCGTGAAATTGCGTACAGGCAAAGGCAAGGCGGATTTAGCCTTCTAGTCCGCTGTCATTTAATTTACCATGTAGTGGCATGAACCCTTTCTGAAAGTTTGTTTTCCTTTTTGACTTCAAACTCGATCTTGATCTTGATCTCACCTACCACTTTCGTTTTTTCACGAGATGTTTTTCCTCTGGTCCCTCGTTATCGGCCTTGCAACGGTCTCTTCAGCTAAATCTTCTGATGATCTGGATTGTACTGGAATCAATGGTATCAGACCACAATGTGAATCTCAAGAGACATCTTACAAACGCGATGTCTTTTGGGTAGGAGGGCATTACGTGAACGCAGCCATTGGTCTGTTGACCTACGATCAGGCGTATGTTGAAAAGTTGACTCCACACAAGGGTATCAAAAAACCATATCCCGTGGTCTTATTTCACGGTGGAGGAGTTTCCGGTGCAGTATGTCGCGTTCAATCCCTCTGAAAGCCATCATCGACTGATCAAAAATAGACATGGCTCAATACACCTGATAATCGCAAAGGCTTTGCATCGATGTTCTTGGACTTGGGTTACCAAGTTTACGTTGTCGATCAAACTAGTGTAGGTCGCGGAACCCAAGAGGATCTCGCAGGATATCCTTTGAGAATTGGATCAACTGCAAACATTAGTGAGGTATGTTTTAGCTTCCACATACGCTATAATGACAGAGACTTACAATTTTCCTTAGGTCGGATTCACAGCTCCAGAAATCGCCAATGCTTATCCCCAAAGCCAACTACATACCCAATGGCCCGGTACTGGAGTTAGAGGAGATCCTATCTTTGATGCATTTGAAAGTTCGTTCATGCCATTGACTACCAACAATACTCGACAAGAAATCTCGATGCGTGCCGCTGGTTGCGAACTTCTTCAATTGATTGGTCCATCATTTTTGATTTCTCACTCTATTGGCGCAATCCACCCAATTGTAATTTCAGACGAATGTCCAGATCTCGTGCTCGGAAATGTCAACCTCGAACCTGGAAACATTCCATTCGAATCCTACACCGGAAACGCAACATCTTCTGTTGGAAGATCAGCTGCTCGTCCATTTGGCTTGACTGTCTCCAATCTTAATTATGATCCTCCTATCTCCAACTATACCGAACTCATGACCGAGACGGTTGGCGAGGATACCCCAGAGAGCAGATCTTGCATCCAACAAAGCAGCGCCGCAAACTACACTATCCATACCCTCCCTAATGTAGCCAAGGTACCATACGTCGCATTCACCGGTGAAGCATCTCCTCACATCACTTACGAACATTGTGTCATTCAATACCTCAATCAAGTTGGTGTAAAGACTGATTGGATCAAGATGGCTGATGTCGGTGTTCATGGCAATGCTCATTTCGGATTCTTGGAGAAGAACAACGACGAATATTTCAAGGTTGTTGAAGCTTGGATCAAAAAGGCTGCCAATGGAATTGGTTCATCTGATTCCGGCGGAAGATATTCGCACTGGAAAGCATAGTTTGAGGAAGGCATGTTTCGGAAAAACACTGTAGAATTATAATTAGCCCCCCTGTGTGGTTTGTACATATTTACCATAATATTCTAATGTCTCCTTTATCAGATGTCGAGGCAAGACAATTAATATAATTCAATTTTTGCCTTCAAACAATCATCAGCCTCTTTTTAATCTATACAAATGGCTTCAAATTTTTATTACTAGGTACCTACCTACCTAGGCATTTGCATCGTAGTGCGACGATGAGGTTCTCAACCTCAGTGGCTCAACAATGACGCTAGCCTCTTAAAGTTAGATGAAAGCTGTAAGCCACCATCACCAATACAAGATTTCGTTAGAGTACTAGAATGTTGAAGTCTTCATCTCATGAGCAAAGTCAGATTGGATTGAGTGTTAAAGATTCTGCTGAAGACCATGGCAATAAAGAATGTGGATATAGCCAAGTTGTCGCAGATTTGAACATGCAGGGAATCCAATTTGCGCTATATCTTCCTAGCTAGGAGGTTACCTTGAACATCATGCGCTGTAAGAAGGTATTTCACCTCTAGCCAATCTTGGTATGTGGTATTTTGTCACTGCTAGATTGCTGTTGCATATAAGATGAGTAATGGGTATTAAGTGTTTATTCATCATTTTCACTTTATTACTGACATGTTAGAGTAGGTATATAGACTAGCATATTCAATGCTTAAGCCATCTCTCACATTTTGAACCCGGCGGAAAAGCAGCAGAGTATATTCAATAATGGTATCTGAACTTGGAGCGATTGGCCGTCTGCCGAGGGTCATTGAGAGACCTATTGAGATGCAGGGACTTTGCTTTAGCATACCCCGTACCAGCATGATGTGTTGATTCTCTTTAAATCTATAACTTGCAAATCTTTGGAATTATTTTTAAGCATTTTTTACTGCGCTGGTAATAACGGGCTCTTTCGTAGTTTGACAAGCTTTCTGTCTGTTTTGTGTAATCACTTCCTCCCATTAATCCAAAGCTGTATTTTGGGGAAAGAATTTTACTCAAGATACAGTATTAATTCTCAAATTTTGCTCTAAATTCAAGCTTCCAAAACCTCCCGTCTTTTTTCTCTCATCAATTGGATACAATAGTCTGTTTCAGAATACATTGATTTGCAAGTCAAGATGATCATCTTCGATTGACATCATTAGATTTGATCAAGCCATGCTAAAGTTAAAACGAGGCTCAACTCATCTCATCAGCAGACGAAATCGTTTGATATCATCTCGCAAGCCGGAGAATCCTTCTATAACCTCCTCAGCAAAGTCTCATAGTTACGCTGTACCTGGGTACTAATTCAGACAGTGATGGGTGAGATGATATTGCACTTGCTGACCTTGATGAACAACTGCAGCCAAGCAAGAAAGTTGTGAGAAGATAGTAAGAAAGCCCATCATGCCGTCATCAGTTATATTTTCAAATCAAAGAGACATACTCCAGCAATTTGGTCTGCTTTCTTACTCTGCACCGGCTGCAACCATTTCGCGCAACTCGTTCCTCAATGTGGACCCGCGATTTGCAGCATCCCAGAAAATTACCCCGGCTCACTTGGAATACATAGTATCCGATTCTGCTTTTGAAAAGTTGCAGGAAGGATTTCAAATACTCGTTGACCATAATAATTGAAGTATGCGATTTCTACTGGAGATGTATCCCATACTCACTGCTGTATCATCTTCCTTTCTGCGCGAGACATCAACGAGTATATCTTATAAAGCAACTTTCTGTTTATCCTTGGTAAAATACTTCGTATCGGCAAGCTGAAATATCTTATATACGCTTCAGAATTCTACACATTTACTCCCCCGACTCTTCAGAGGGGCCCTTGCGAACAAGATGTTCCTGTCCGCGCCGCCCGGGAATTTCTATATGTGTATTTGATTTATTGAGCGGAAACCTGGAGTCTTTCTGAATGATAAGTTCGGCAGTCATTTGTATTGTGACGAGAAAAACAAATACACATAAGCATATTAAAGAGGAAAGTAGCAAGTACCACTGAGTATAATGCTACATAGATCATGAACAATAAGTCTCATTGACTGAACAAGCGGCGTTTCTGCCTCAATACTATTCCTGAAAAAAAAAAAAAAACAGGACTCTGATGTATCTCAAGTACTAGCCATCTTCCATCTTCCATTCACCATTCCACTCCATTCCAAACCCACTTCTCCCACCTAGAATATCTATCCCACCCCATCCACGAAACTAATCCCCTACCCCTCACCACAGCCTCTCAAACCTCCTCATTAAGCGCCCTCCCCGCCTTCAACAAAATCCCAATACAACTAATATTTCCCCACCACCAAAACGCCGTCCTCAATACACTCGTATTTCTCGTTTCCATAAACGTATATGCGAATCCATATCCGATTCTCGCTAGATTGTAGGATAATCCGAATTGATTGATTGTTTGGATCGGGAGTCCTGCTTGTTGTGCTAGGATCTGGGGGTGTTAGTTTTTATACATCTACTATTCTTAATCTAATACCCCTCTACCCCTCCTTCCTCCCTCCCCTTCTTTCTACCCGAAAAAAAGTAAAATCTGAAAAAAAAAAAAAAAGAAAAAAACTCACAATACACCCCAAAAAGAACGCAAAATGTTCAATACTATTACTCGACGCGCTCTGCACCCTCTTAATCCTGTCCAACTGTCTCTTCGTCAATTTCCCCTCTTTCACCATGCGCTCCCCATATTCCTGAACATCGTAGCGGGGGGATTCATTGTGATCGAATCCGTAGTATTGTTTCCAATGGCGAGAAGCGAGGACAAGGTAAGAGAGAGTCCAGTTTGTGAGGATGTAGGGGACGGCGTGGTTTATGGTTGGGGAGAGGGGGGAGGAGAGGAAACCGATGAAGGTTGTCATTTTTTTTGGACTTGAGGAAATGGGTAAAGAGAAATTGGGGTTTGGGGAATGGAATGATGAGATTTTTGGGGTTGGATGACAATGAATAATGTGAGCTATGATTTAGATGGGGAGGTTGGATAGAATGTCAGATTTTGACGTGTGGTAATGTGATATTTATATCTGCATTTCCGCCCCCAAATTCGGATACTTTTCGGATACTAAATTCTGTCAGCAATCGTCATTATGGAAACACGTCTCACACACGAGCTGGACTCAATAATACGTAAGATTCCAGGATTTGGATGAGTCATAAGATATTATTTCAGTATCAATATCAATTGTTTCGAGAAAAATATAGAGTCGGGACTGCTGGGAAATTTTGATTTTCGTGTAAAGTTATCAATTTTGTATTGTGTTGTAATCTAGATAGAAAAGGTCTGGTAAAAGAAGAGAACGACGACGCATTGATGTATATCATATACTTGAACGCAAAGAAATAGATCAAACACTTTCAAATCCTCCCTATGACTTCAGCAGAAAGAGATACATATCCCGTAAAAACCCAAGTCCCATTTCCTCCAACCTGACCAGCTTTCCATATATCAGCAATCTAAATAATGCCATCTCAAAATCCACCTTTGAAGAAATTCGTAGGCTGAGGGTTTTCAGGTAGATAAGTACCCAAGATTTTGTTCTTCGAAGAGCCTAATAATTTCGATTTTGCCATGTTGAACTTGTTGAAAAGATCCTTAAAATTTCTAAAGTCTTTCTTGGCAAGCTTGTTGGGAGTAGGAGGGTATGTCGTAACAAATTGAACCGAAGGATTGTAACAGGTAGAACCACAACAAACATCCCTAAGACAGATGCCAGTTGTACAGTCTGAATTGTTTTCGCAGGTAATTCCGCAAGTCTATATGATAAGGGAATCAGTATTGCTTATCTGGAACAGATTCCAAGGAAATTCATGAATGTGAGGTATTGATGAGGTAGTGGGAAGCAAAATGAATACATAGACTGAAGACAAAAATCAAGATCGAGATCAGGAAAGAAAAGGAGGTATCAAAAACAAAAGAAGTATTGAATAGCTTATACTCACTCCTGCAGCGACACAGAAACCAGAATCATCGTTTCCTCCACCAGGAATACAAATACCAGCACCACCTCCACAAGCAGAGTTACTATATCCTTGGGCACATGTAGCCGGATTGGCGCAAAGTGGTAATTTATCGTAGAGATAGGTAGTTGGAGTTGGAGCGACAACTACTGAAGGTGTAACTCCCGCACAATCACAGGCGGAGGAATATGCAGCTGCGTCGGTACAATATGATGCGTAAGTAGGAATTGTACCATGATCGGCTGTTGTTTGAGAAGGAACATAGAGATAATCTTCCATATTGGCAGACGTAGTTATCAAAGCAATTCTGTATCAATTAGCGAAGAATATGAATGGAATTAGAACTGACGAACGAAGCATTGGGAGTGACAGTAGTCGCTATGAACTTGGCGCAATCTAATGAACGACTTTGGAGACCAACGTTGATTTCACCGATTGATGTAATGGCATCAGCACATTGATTTTGAGTGCAGATAGCACCCAAAATACCTCTAGCAAAGGCCAGAAAGACCAACAAGCTTGCAGTCCTCATATTGAAAATAATGCCGTTAGTTTGGAAAAGAGAGAGGGACAACGCGTGTACAACAGAAAGGAATGAGAGTATGGAAATGACTTATACTTGTAAATTTTGTTATGCATATCAACGGATGTGAAGAATGTAGAGGCTTAGAATATGAGACCTCGTTGCCAAGTTACTTGACGTCTACCGCGTCCACGAATGCATTTATCCTTGAGCAGATGCAATTTGCACTCAATTATGATGGGAGCACACACTGAGTTTCAAAGGGCTATTGTGTGTTTCTGTACCTACAATGTTTTGCCTTTGACTTCTCAACAAGTCGTATCTTCTTGTATGATATTTTAATACGACAAGAAATAGGAACCTTTCTGCCGCTACGCGCAAAGCTAACGGAATGTTACTTCCAGAAAGTACATTCCAGCCGAGCCATTCTCGCGTGCACTTCCCGTGCCTTCGATGTAACACTTGCAACCAATTATGACGTTTCAGCCTTCAAGTAAAGGTTGGCTTTGGACATCCCTTCGAGGCTAGACGTCAAAGGGATGATTTGCTGCAGCTTCTTCCAACTAGTGATGACTAGGATTTGATATTTCACTCTCGGCCTCCTCTGCCATAGGAGCCACTTGTCATTCAACGACCCAGTGTAAACTTCTGTAGAATCCTGCTTGCAGAAAAGGTATCGATACGATTCTCAAGATACTCCTGGCCGATTGGAGCTGACAGGTTGACATGTTCGTTTGTGTTTCTTAACCATGTTGTTTGCACGTTTTTCGGGATGCATGTCGAATTGGTTGGACCGATCTCGATGTAGCATTGAAAGGCCGTTTGGTTTTCAAAGTTGGATTCGGATATTCCAAAGAATTACAAGATTTCCAAGCTCAAGAGAATATTGTTTGTCAAATTTCCAGGTTGCTTATCAAGATAAATTTAGCTTCCGTGATGTGGAAGAAGATCCTGGTCCGTGCAGATTATTTTGAGCTTAGCCCTGCTTGTCGTGCTTGCTGAGAGATTGGTGGGATTAGCGCACAACCCCACACTAATGTAACTTCACCGATGCTCACCCAAGTGAAGCCTCATTTTTGTAACAAGAGATGTAACCTCAACCTCAGCACTGGGACAAATCAGAATGTTTTCCTTCTATCATTTTCCATTTGCTTTCTTATCAAGAGGTAAGACGTGCTACTTGATTCGACAAGTAATCGGATTAAGAAATTCGAAATGGGTCCCTACATTGAAAAATCACTTTTCACGGGCGTCCAAGTCCAATGGATATTGACCATCATGGGGAAGATGCGCCCCCGTGGGATATGAACAGACGAGGATGAGGAAATGGGAAGGAAAAGATAACTCGTCTGTTTGCTTTTCCAGCGGCAAAAAGTAAAGGTGATTCGAGGAGAATTTCCTTTGGTTTCACTTTTGTGTATTACTTATTTTTGTGTATTTGCATGTCCAACAATTGCTCCGTTGGCCACCAAAAGCTTTTACCTTCCTCTTCCATCAGCTACTTATAGTATGGTTGCGATTGCATGAGAGCGAGCTACTTGACTATCATTCAATATCAAGCTCATAATTCTCAAGTCTATACTTCACCATCAAACACTCCTCGATCGTAGCAAGACGACATCAGAAACGCACCGCAACCTGGGAACATCGACAGAGACCTTTGAGGGAACCTATGAATTCATGATCGCGGAATATTATCTCTTTGCAACTGCTTTTTGAAGGGTTGGCTAGAATCTCATTGCTTCTGGGAACTTAACAGCAGGTTTGTCTCGTTCGCGATCAAAGCAATACACAATACGAAAGCGCATCGCCCAGGTCTTTATTTCATAGCTAGCTTCTCAACCTATCATCCCAAAAGGACGCGATCTCAAAATGGTCTCTGACTTACCTCTGGAATACATCTTTCATCATGTTTTTCTTCCTCCGAAATTGCCGGACAAGGAGGATGAGCGAGAGAAATATGATGTTGTACTTACGCAACTTTGTCAACAGGAGCTTCAAAACTTTCATGATTTCCTGCCAAGTGATCAAAGACAACCAGTCAAAAGGATGATCGGGATGATAGAGGGCATGATTCTTGATTCATCTGCTACTGGCACACTATTTTCAAACATTATCAAAGGTTTAAAAACAATGGAAATTGAAGGTACAGATCTTTAACCCCCCTAAATTTTCTTACTGACCATGCAAAATATACAGATGTTTACGCTTTTCACGTCGAGGCACAAAATGCAGGAATAATAATTCGACGCCTCTCATCAGAGTATTCATTCGAGATGTTTGAGCTATCACCGAGGAATACAGATAACATGGCGACTGTCGGACGATTACGAAGATATTTCCCAGGTCCCGCAATAGCCATCCATCAGAACCGCATCCAAGAAGAATCATTCCAGGAAGCTCTATCTCAGTGCATTGAAGAGCTCTCGCGAGAGACGCCAAATATTGTCCAAGCGAAAACTCGTAAAGCAAAAGTATCTGACATTGAGATTCGAGACACTGTCGACCCATCCCTCATAACCAGCATGCTTGCGGAGTCTCTGCATGCCGTTGGTCGTCGTATTGATATCCACCGCATTCAAAAGAGAACCCGTGATATCGTCCAGTGGAAAGATTGTCTTTATCCCTGGCGTCGTTCACCCCTTTGGCTCCTTCTCCGAGTCTGCCTTCAGACTGGACTTATGAAAAGAGATTGCAATGATCCATCACACTACCAATACAAATCTTTTATGATCTTTTTCATGTCCCAAATTCTAGAACGCGCACTAGAGTCTCCCATGTCCAGAGAAGTATTGTTCATAATGTCGATGAAGGTACAACGGCGCTTAGTCAAACTCGAAAAGTTTATTGACCGTGAGCTACAGCGGCAGATACAGGAGGTGTTGTCCAAAGTCTCATCCTACTTGAAAAACAATGTGCCAATGCTGTCACACCCAATATACCCTGATATCGTTGCACTCAACCTGATAGAAGACACAGCGCTTACCATGAACTTTCTCCGACCTTACCTTGTCCGTTTACTGGCACGAAATCAATCAAAACTAAAACACGCACTTGCTGAACCTTCTTGTCACTTTCGAAACTTTCAATTGAATACACAACTCCCGTATATGAGTACCCAGTCTTTAGGTTCCCAAAATAGAGATCTAATTCACTTGGAGTTGGCAGACATCGAACTGTGGGTTCGAGATCATTTGGCTAGTTGGCTGAGTACACATCAAAAATATGAGTCAAGTTGTATCGCTCTGGCAGATCTCTTATCTACCTACCAGGAAGTCTCTGATGAAGCATATCAAGGGGTTCCCGAAGACCAGTCCGTTAGAATCTTGACTTTGCTCGATCTATGGGTCGCATTAGACAAATGTACAACTTTACAAGAGCCACTTGTAAAGGATTACAAATGTGGATTGACATCAGACTTGTTCGCTCCTCTATTGTTACCTACTAAGCCAGAAATGCTAAGATTAGCCTCTATCGAAGAATACATTACTATTAGAAATGCTGCATCATCCGCCGAGATGCCATGTATCTTCTCCACAACAAGCACTGCGAGAAGCTTTCCTGTTCGCTACTTCGATCAATCGTCCCAGCACCAGAGGTTACTAGAGAGGATCAGCTCTGATGCTCGCTCTGACCGCGAAGCAAAATTGCTCGAGCTAGAGGCAAAGATTCGACAGTACAATTCCTGGAAAGAAAGTGATCAATCGACCGAATGCAGATATGAGAAGGTTATTCGCGGTCGAGGACATAAACGCCATGAAGTCACTGTCCACGCGAGTTATTGTCCGAAATGCAATGCAAAAAATGCGGCCAAGCAAGTCACAATAGATGTTTTTGAATGTCCTCTCCCAGAAAATGTTTTAGAGGCCAAGTCGATAACATTCGAGCTTGACGTGCCTAAAGTCTTTTCAGCTTGGCGCGATAGCACGTATGGGCTTCTAGTGGACACTCTATCATCAAAGCCAAGAGTTTCTCAGAACATCGATTATTACAATTTCAGAAACACTGCTTTGGAGCGTTATGCTCAGAAATCCTTGGGGAGAATTCGCTTGGGGTCTCGTAATAAGCCATTTGTCATTTCTCACTATAAGAACAAGTTTGTTTCTCAGGCTACAGTTGAAAACATCCTGAAACCAACTGGGCTGAACTACATGGTTGTAGATAATGACGGATCCGACCAAATAGCAGTGACGGGTGATTTCTGCGCAAATTTGGGTATCCGAAAGTTATGCACCATGAGATTCGCTCCAGCTTTCATAAAGCTAGAAGCCTTTCTAGAAGACACAAAGTCTACGACCAACGATACTCTTGCAAAACAAGCAGACTGCCCGGCCACATTGACTTTACACGAATTCTATCAATTTGCATCTCTTAGATGTGGGAATTATCTTCAATGGCTTAATATTCTGCGAGAGAGTGAAGCACGATTACTTGATTTGAACTCTGATGAAGTCTTCCAAATACTGACACAGACGGCATGGCAGGTTGGCCCCGCAGCTTGTAAGCTCGCATGCCGAGATTCACACCAAGATCTCGAGGACGAAGCCTTTGGGATACATCTTTTACAGGCTTTAAATTCGATAGTCTCAAGCGTAGAGTCTAATTGGCAGAATGTAAGAGCTGTTCGCGTGGTGATTATACTAACCACTCGGTTGCTCAGTGTCTCAACTAAGGAAAAAGTGCACGAGACCTGTATTCGTCTACTCTTACGTATTCAGATTATTACAATTGCGTGGACTAGAGATGTTGTCCGCATACTCCATGATTGCCAGGAGAAAGATGAGCTTGAATCACTAAAAATTCGAGCCCTTGAACTGGCATTGGCGTGCCATGGTTCATTCGACGTCGAAATCAATAATCTTAATATTTTGCTCAGCTCCGCCGAAACTCAAACTATTTTTATCGAGAGCCTGATCACAGTTCACGATAGACGTCCTGCATTAACTACTGGTCTTGGCAGTATGATCCAATTTGGGTTGAGACGCTTTGATAGATTGAATCATTCCGCCGAATCGATTCTGCGTGGCATCATAATCAATGAAACCGCCGGTATTGACATGACCATTCAATCTCTCTGGTCTGGGTATAAACCTGGAACCCCTTGGAAAGCACTTGATCTGCCAAACGAAAGATGGCTAAGAACGAAAACTGCAACAGTCAATGGCCAAGAATCACTATTTGTTGAATTGAACATTTTAGACGGAGAATTGCTCATCAATGGATCTCCACTTGCTCGTCTACCTCGTGATTATGAATCCCATGCCACTTATCAACGAATCTTCGGACAGGTCAGTGTACATCTCAATGTGTGATCCCCTAAATCTAATTTTATGTGTATACAGAAAATGTTGGATGTTGTCCCATCAACAATGCCCGGCATGGCTTTTGAGACTAGGAAAGATGTATGTGGGCAACAAGTAAGATCAATAGTTCGGTATTTGAACTCAAACACATGCTGACTTTTTTAGGTTCATTTCAAAATGCTCGGCGACGAATTAGTGATTCGAACCCGTAAAGGGGATGAATGCTTTGAGGTTATTCCCAAGCACGTTCTCATAGACGACTTTCAACATTCGTTCACAGAAAACTATATATTTATGCGAAACGATGAGACCGGTGTCATACAACTGAGGCCAGTAGATATGCCATGGAATTCCTCGAACAGTGAATGGAAAATTACACATTCTTCCAACCAAACTTTTCATTTAATCAACGGCTCCATGTCAGCCATTGATATCCGAAGCCCAACAGCTTGCGCTATATCAAAAATCCTCGGAAATTTAGAGACTCTAAGCCACATCAACATGACGCTGAATCACCAAGACAAAATCTTGGAGCTACGCCTCCCCCGCTTCAACCTCGACTTTTCCGTTACTGCAGGAGATTGGAGACTTTTTTCTAAACAATTTCGAGGAATGTCCGTGGACAAAAATCAGGATATTGGTACATTCACTGGCTTGTTTAACAAACTTGTGTTGCGTAGCAACGACGACGCAACGCGAGTTGTGGTCGTTCCAGACGGCGAGATTGTATTTACGCGAGAAAATGAACATGTTCAAGTGAAAATCGATACAGCATTTACGAGCTCCTGTAGTTATCATGACTATCGAATCGACCCTCAACTTGGCCGTCTGATTGATAATGGAAGCCTGAAAACTTGTTTATTCAGATTATATCTTCATTCTATAACCTCAGATGTTATACCAGATGCCCTCACAGGCAAGACTGGCACGGAAGAAGCATTGAATGGGTTAACTTCCTCATCTGTATGGTCATTCTCAACGCTTTCCTCTAGCGAGATAGGGTTGCTACTGAAGTTGAGAGATTTATCTCCACAAGTTGAATACTATCCAGCACATAAAAAATCTATGCAGATGATTTCGTGGAAAAATCTCCCAGTATTATCTCAACATGAACGATTCTGCAAGCAAGTCGATCTCATTTTCACACATGCTAAGAAACTCGTGCCATTTCAAACTGCGTCCGATAAGGAGTACCCGATTCCCAAATCAAACGATCGCAGCAATCCTATCCTGATTTCGGCGGCTATCATTAGGAATGCTGTTTATCGCGTCGATGGCTTTGGGGCAGAGGAGTTTACCACGATTAAAGATAAAGTATACGACTCTCGGGACGGAAACTGTGATGAAAGTCGACGTGCAGATATATACCAAACCGCAGCGTTGGTATATTCGTGGTCACAGAACTTGAAGGTTTATACGGGTTTATTAGGAATCATGAGTTCTTTGTCAAGTCACATCATTGGACCTGGTGCAATCTCAGAAAATATCATTGGATACGATTCAAAGTGGTTAGATACACCCGAGTCTTTCTTGTCTGAAACTTGGTGTGCAATCTATCAGCAGCTATCAGCAAGTATTGAAACTCGAGATAAGTATAAAATCATGATCTTCTTGTCCACGTTGATCTTCTCGAAAAATGTCGACCATTCGCTCGTCCATACATTTTTAGCATTTGCTACAATGCCGATTTTTGATTGCATCAAAATACCTCAATATCAGCTTTTCCCTCTGTGCGAAGGGTTCGAGCCTGACAGAAATTCACTTAAAGCTCTCATCGGCGCTCAGAAATACGGCTATGAGAACACACCTGCAAGCAAGCTTGTCAAGAAAGAAGCCGAAACTGAATGGGAGGTTCACAGTCGAAGACAGCAGACTTATATTGACCAAAATGAATGTGCTGTTGAAACAGCCCTTCAACATCTTTTGCTTCAATGGCCAACTGACAAGCCTATTGCGTCCACGGATAAACATTGTCAAACATACATTGACATAAAAACTGCCACGGTTCAAGCCCAAGCAAAATTTTCGTCTTGGTTTAAAAACAGCAAATTCAAGGAATACATCCTGCTCCTGGAATCAGCTCTCAAGAACTCAAACTCAATTGATTGCATGATCACTCAGCGATGGTCAGATTATGCAAGGCCCACCAGTAATTATAATCCGAACTTTGCTTATATTACCCTCAGGAATCTTCTCCAAAATGAACCTCCAACTCTTATTGGTGAAAATGGATTGTTCCAGTTCGGTTCACTTCTGGTTAAGATATCCAAATCGTTGGGCAATGATAAAAATCATATAAAAGTCTCAGAGCTCTTGGTGGAACTTTCTCGATACACTTCCGGAACATTTGAGAATCAATACAGCCATCACCTACAACAAAGTCTGGATGCTTTGCACGAGATACCATGTTTTAAATTAAATCCCGCGGTGTCAGCTCACGATTTCTCAGACTTTTTGGAAAGAAGTCAGGCACTGGTAGACAGCATGTACCTCAGAATTAAAGAGCATTTGTTAAGTTCCATAAGCGTGTTCGGAGCTACAGAGAACACGACGATGCTTCCGCGCCTTTCTAGAACCACAATTCTTGCTCTTATTGCAACTTCGCATCCTATAAAGCTCTCGCAACAGTGGAAGCAGGCAATTGTGCATTTTGGCCTGGCTATAACTGCCCTGCAACGTCTGAAGCGTCTGGTGGCTTGTTGTAGCAATAAAGCAGAGCTTCTCATGGAACTTTCAAACTCGGGACATCAAGGGTGGGACCCGTTGTTGCATCCGGACTGGCTACTACTTGAATTGGAGAACGGAATTCTGATTCGCAAAGATCAGGCTGATATCAGTAGTGAAATGATCGACCCATCATCAGGCGCGAACTCTGTCATGCAATTGAACATGGGGCTTGGAAAATCTTCAGTCATTGTTCCACTTGTGGCATCGGCTCTGGCAGACAAGACAAAGTTATGTCGCGTCGTAGTTCTCAGAGCGCTGTCTAGACAGATGAGAGAATTGTTAGTAAGAAAGCTTGGTAATATGATCAATCGCCGTATATATTTTGTACCAATCTCACGTGCGCTACAAATGAGTGCTGAAGGGGCAAAGCAGCTCCGAGAAATTTACGAGACTTGCATGGCTTCCGGTGGCGTACTTCTAGTACAGCCAGAGCATTTACTGTCTTTTGAGTTAATGGGTCTTGAGATGGTACTTTCTGGAGATCAAGATGCAAAGGTTGTTGGTAAGGTAATCAATGACACCCAAGCATGGCTACTCAAGAATTGCCGGGATATCCTAGATGAGAGTGACGAGATATTGAGTGTACGATTTGAATTGATTTATACCCTTGGCAGACAAATGCCTATCGAGTTTGCTCCTAACCGTTGGGTGCTAATTCAAAGAATATTGTCGATATTGACTTCTTGTATCAAGAAACTTGATCGAAAATACAAAGATGATTTCGAAATAGAGAATTTGCCGGATATTAGTGGTAAATTTGCGAGATTTCGGATCCTACAGCCCGAACTCGGTGATTTACTTCTTAAAAGGGTGGTACAATCTATCTGCGATGAAGGACTCCCTGGATTATCATTCTTCCAATTTACCAAGAGCAATCGAGACCTCTTATACCGATTTATCACAGATTCCAAGATAGATGAAGAAGTAATTCAGCATTCGATATTCGATGCTGACTCCACGAAAATGGGCCTTCTACTCCTTCGAGGTCTCTTTGCACACGGAGTTCTACACTTCGCCTTTTCACATAAGAGGTTTCGGGTTGATTTCGGTTTGGATTTGAAACGATCATCACTAGCAGTCCCATACCATGGGAAAGATGTGCCTGCAGCCGCAGCAGAGTTTAGCCATCCAGAAATGACTATTTTATTGACTTGCCTTTCCTACTATTACGAAGGGCTATCCAAAAGCCAAGCAATACGGTGTTTTCGAGAGCTTTTGAGATCGGACAACAGTCAAGGAGAATACGAGAAGTGGACCAGAGATTGCTCCAACATTGAGACTGAATTCAAGCAATTAAGTGGCGTCAATCTTGATAACCTACATCAATGGTCTGAACATGTATACGCACATTTAAGGCGTTCCAAAGAAATGATAGATTTCTATCTAAATCACCTCGTTTTCCCAAAGGAGATGAAGGAATTTCCCAAGAAACTTTCTTCATCGGGTTGGGATATTGCTCGGATCAAAAACCACCCGCTCACTGGCTTCAGCGGAACAAACGACAGCAAGTATATCCTCCCGCTCTCAATACAGCAACGAGATCTAGAAGAACAACTTTCAACAAATGCAGAAGTGCTCGCATGCTTATTGCAGTCTGAAAACAAATTTGATTCCACGGTCAAGAGTGAAGATTTCAATGCGGAAATCCTCCTAAACCTTGCCGTAACGTCGAAACCTACAATAAGGGTAATTCTTGATGTTGGGGCACAGGTTTTGGAGCTAAAAAATGAAGAGGTTGCTAGTAGATGGTTAGCAAAACTTCCAGTTACTGAGGTACACGCGGCGGTATTCTTTGATTCTTCAGATGAGCTTTGCGTTCTGAACCGTGATGGGGTGACCGAACCCCTCACTATCTCGCCATTTGCTAAGCAGATGGACCGATGTGTGATTTATCTCGATGAATCTCACACACGTGGAACAGACTTGAAACTTCCAGTCAGCTATCGTGCTATTGTTACACTTGGACCAGATCTGAACAAAGATCGTCTCGCACAAGGTAAGAAGTATCTGATTATATAGACAAAATTATAACTAACACCTATATGACAGCATGTAAGCGTATGAGAAAACTGGGAAAGGGCCAGTCAGTATTATTTTGTGCGCCGAAAGATATCCAACGAAAAATAATACACTCCACGAACATGACCCAGTCTGACCAAATCGAAGTCAAGCATGTTCTTTTGTGGTGTATAAGAAATACATTAGACCAAGTTCGAAAGTCTGTTGTACCTTGGGCAATTCAAGGAAAGCGTCATTATGAGCGACTTGAGGCTCTAAGCGCAAATCCTGGTATTGTCCCTGCATCTATTCAAGAAGACGAAGCACAGAGCCTGGAAGAGAGATACGGATTCGGCAAAGAAAAAGCTGACGGGCGTTGGCTGGCTGACACAGCTCCTAACACAGACATGGAATACTCTGCCGAACTCATCGCTATTCGGAAGAAATGTGCCCAATTTGGTTTTAATTCTTTTGCAGGTGCCAGTTTACACGAAGAACAAGAACGTGAATTGCAACCAGAGAAAGAATGGGAGATACAGCGTGAGCATGCCCCAAGTGTACCAGCTTCAAAACATAAATTGCATGCCGATGTCAGAAATCTGGCCACGACCGGTGTTATGGTCCACAGCGCTCCGAGTGGATTTTTGCCTGCTTTTGATGTTTTCAAGAACACATCAGCAAAAGGATTATTCGATATATCCAAGTGGCCCAGGGATCTTTGGGTCACTCGAGACTTTGCGCAGACTGTGGTAATGCACAAATTTGGCGAGATTGATACATTTTTACGTCCTGTCAACTGGGTCGTTACATCTGAGGGCAAAAATGGTTTGTCATTCTGTGTAATATTTAGCCCTTTCGAAGTTCAAGAGTTACGCTTTGTCATAGAACAACATAAGAAAGTCATTTTGAGCATCTATTCGCCACGCTTGAGCCTCTCTTCAAGGTCATTCGAGAGCCTTGATGTTCACAAAATTCCAAAAGGTTCGAAGCTACCATCAATTCATCCACGTATTATCATGCTTTTAAACCTTTTTGCTGGGCAGCTATATCTTCGAAGCCACGATGAATACATTCGCCTTTGCCAATTCCTCGGACTCTGTTATTATCCGCCTCAGAATGACGTCGAGATTGGTTGTGATAATTTTGTTCCTTTATCAAATCGTGCATCGTTCGATCCCGTTATGAAGGAGGTTTGCCCTTTCGAGGAGAGTCCGGTTGATTTTCTACAAAAAGTATTTGCGTTGAGACGAAAAGGGCAGAGTTTTGAGAATACACATATGGGCAGGATCCTGAATGGAGAGTTATTGAGTAGGAATGATTTCGATGACGATGGAGGTGGAGGTGGAGGTGAAATTGACGGAGAGATTGAAGATGGTGGGACCGTTGAATGAAAGCGATGGGAGCAACGGAATTAAAGGGTTAACGAGATTGATGAGCGCCTGAGTGATGAAGACTTGTTCAGTAAGATTCATTGCCTTTGAATCACTTGCAACTTCACACAGCTATTTGTATTGTAGAATATTAAGATTCCCTTGCTGAGAGACCAATTGTTTGCTCTTTGTCCTGCTTATCAGATCGCTGCGTAGACGATGATGTAGATTGAGTTTATTATAAGATTATCGAAATCTAGAAGTCCACTAATTGACAAAGCCAATGGGCAATTAAACTCAGGAATTATTTTGCTTTCTTTGTTATCGAAACTGCCATAGGACAGCTTCTACGCAAATATAATGCTTGCTGGGTGGGGCTCAGGAGTGAATACGCGGGGTTTTATTGGTCAATAGCGCCTGCACCTACATTCCTATTGTTATCGCGTTCCGCATTACAAATAATACTTTTAAAGAATTATTAAACCTTCCATCTTTTATCGTAAAATGAGAACGTGCATACACAGAAATGGCATCGATCTTAAAATGGGCAAGAGCAGCGACCAGAAGATCGCCATCCGCGCCATTGCGGTTCCCCACGACGGGGTATGAATTGACCAGCGATGCTCAACCACTTGACGAGGAACAACTCGAGGGATTCAAAAGGGGGCTATATTGTCCTGTAAACATTGGAGATATATTTATGTCTAAATACCAAGTCGTTGGAAAGCTTGGATATGGCATGACGTCTACTGTTTGGTTGGCGCGTAATCTTCAGTGTGTTTTCATGTCACATGTATATCCATATACTAACGACTTAGAGCTCATGAACACGTTTCCCTTAAAATCTACACTCGTGACGGAGATCCACAGGAAGAATTCGAGAATTATAAACGTTTAAGGAAAGGCAACAATTCCCATCCCGGGTTTCCACATATTAGGACAGCCCTTGAGATATTTACAATACCCCGTATAGGCGGCGACCATACTTGTCTTGTGCAAAAACCGATGTGGGAAAGCTTTAGAGAACTTAAATATCGTCTTCCAAACCATTGTTTTACGGAGAAGATATTAAAGGGTGCGTTGAAACAGTTGTTTTTGGCTTTGGATTATTTGCACACTGAATGTCAGCTTGTTCATACGGGTATGGAAGATTTATTCTCTCTTTTCCTCTAGGGGCTTTTGGAAAGTATTAATGATATCTTATAGATATCAAAGCAGATAACATCCTATCTGAAATTGAGGACGAATCCATTCTCGACGCCTTTACAGAAGCGGAGATGAATTCTCCTTCACCTCGCAAGGTGATTGATGGTGTGACTGTGTATGCGTCACGAAAATTCGATATCCCAAGAGTTTTTGGTGATTCTGTGTTGAGCGACTTTGGCTCTGCGGTTCGGGGGGATGTGAAAAGGAATCATGGTGCAGGACCTCAAATCTATAGAGTCGGTACACAACCAGGTTTGGAAATACGTACTGATTAATTAACAGACACCGGAAGTCATGATTAAATCACCTTGGAGTTATCCGATCGATATATGGAACGTAGGAGCAATGATATGGGATCTCTTTGAGGGAAGACATATGTTCCATGGTGAAGATAGCGATGGAAAAGGCTATTCCACTCGTGCACATTTAGCAGAGGTTATTGGAATGTTGGGATCTCCCCCTATGGATTTTCTCGAAAGAGGTTTACGAACTCCTGAGTTCTTTGATAAACAAGGTATATAACTCAAAGCCAAGTTGTATTGAAAGCCAAGCTAAATCGTGATTGTATAGGTAAATGGATAGCAGATATGCCTATTGCAAAGGATATGGAATTGGAGAAGATGGAAGTACGTCTTCAGGGTAGGAATCAGGAGATGTTTTTGAATATGATGCGTGGTATGCTTCAATGGCGACCGGAAGATAGGAGGTCTGCTAGACAATTAGCTGATGATCCTTGGATTAATGATGTAATTGATTAGGTTGAATATTAAATGAAGAACTTATCATGAATAAGTTCTTTATAATTTTCTTTTTATAAGGTTTTCTATCAAAAAGGTATTATGAATAAGTTTTAATAGAATATTACACTCATGAGTTTATTTCTATAAGATATAGAAAAGAGGGTAAATACATATTGAAGGGGATAAAAAGCTTGATTGTATTTCCTATAAAAGATTAAAGCTATTTAAGGTATTAGAAAGCTAAAAACCATATTAGAGGGGGCTGTAGTGGTGTAGTATTCACTCTGATATCTGATGTATATTTATATTATTAAGAGATTATTATATTAACTTCAAATCTCAAATTTATTAATCGTTATTATTATTATATAAACATTTATATTATGTTATATGTTTTTTCAATAATCTCTTTATATAATATATATAAAAACAAATAATATTGATATATTATTAAGTATTAGTATTAAAAATCTATTAATTAAAAACTATAGCTCTATTATTGAAAGATTTATATATTAAGAATAAAACTAAAGCTTATTAATAGTTATTATAATATAAAAAGAATTAAATAATATCATATGTTTTTTATACTGTATTTATCTAAATTATATAAGAAAACAAATAAAATTAATATTAGAAATTTAATAAATTAAAATCTTAATTGATATATTAGATACAAAGCTAAAGCTTACTAATAATAACTATTATTATAATAATAATAAAATTGAGTATTATTTGTTTTTTATATTTTATTTATATTAACTTTACAAAAAAACATATAATATTAATATTATTTTTAGTATTGATATTAAGAAGCTTTTAAAAGAAATATATAAGAATTTTATTAAGATATCTAATATAATTAAAAGTTATTAATTGTTATTATTATTATAGTATGAATATCTATATGATATTATATGTTTTTTATATTACATTTACGAAAATCATATGAAAAAACAAACAATATTAATACAATATTCGATAATAAGGATTTGAAGTAAGATTTATATTTATATTTTCAAAATATTTTAAGATTAACTAGAAGCTCAACTTAAGATTATTAACTAATATTATAAAAATATAAGTACTTTTATAATATTATATATTTTTTATTTCATATCTATTAATAATTTAGAGAAAAACAAATAATATTAATAATATATTAAGTATTAGTATAAGAAATATCTAAATGAAATTATATACTCTTACTATATTGAGTTAGGAAAATAATAATTATACATTATCAATTTTGTAATATAAATATTTTGATAATATTATACGTTTCTTATATTATTTCTTTCAATTTTATATTAGAAAACAAATAATATAAATACTATATTAAGTAATAAAATTGTAAATTATAAAATAAGATCTATATCTATATTATTAAGAGATTATTTATAAGATTAAAAACTAAAGATTGTTACTTATTATTGATATTATATATATATTTCTCTAGTATTATATGTTTTTATTATCATTTCTTTAAAGAGAATAGAGAAAAACAAATAATATAAGGAGTCTATTTAATAAAATCGATGTTTATGTTTGAAAAAGATTTTTTAATTAGATTATAAACTAAAACTATAAATTATTATTTATATAATATAAAATTTTCTATGATATTATTTGTTTTTATAAGAGCATTATATATAATATATAAAGAAACATATAATATTAATATTTAATTAAGTTGCATCAAAAGCTCATTAAATAAAATCTATAATAAATATATAATCAAAGACTATTATTTATTATCTCTATAGTATAAACATTTTTTAGATATTATCTGTTTTTCTTATTATTTTTTTATATATTATATCGAAAAACAAATAATATAAATAGTTATAGTATTAAGTATTAATTATAATCGTTTATTAATTGAAATTAATATCTATATTACTATATGACTATAATAGATATGTGATATAATAAAAGATAATTGATTATTATCTCTAGAATAAAAACATTTCCCTAGTATTATATGTTTTTATTATTATTTCTTTACATATTTCATAAGAAAACAAATAACATTAATAGTATAGTAAGTATTACTATATAATTTTATAAGATTTATATAAATAATATAAACTAAAGACGTATTAATTATTAGAATTATAATATTATCTATATAAAAACAAATAATATTAAAATTATCTTAAGTATTAGAATTAAGAGTTTATTAAATGAAAACTATATTTACATTATTAGGATATATACCCGAAAATAAATACTAGATATATAACCTCTTTATAGTTTAGAGAAAAACAATCTGCTTTTTTATTTAAAATCTTAAAGTGTACTATATATAAACTATACTATTTAGATTCTTTCTGTTCTTTTCTTTATTAAAGATAACCTTCTATAATAATTTATTTTATAACTTTCCTACTTTTCTATAATAAATAAATCAATATCATTGATTATTAAAATAATATTAATTGTTTTTTATATTAGAATTATAAAAGATATTCTAAAAAACAAATAATATTTAAATAAAGAAATACAAAATAAATTATATACTTATATTGTTAGGAAAATAGTATAAAAGATAAAGATACAAAGGATTAATTATTATTATTATTGTTATAATATAAATAAACGTTTAATTTTATATGTTTTCTTCGTTAATTCTTTATATATTATATCAAAAAACAAATAATATTAAAATCATATTAATTATTAGTATTAAGAATCTTTTAAATGAGATTCATATCTATATTATTAAGAGATCATTAATTATAATTATCATAGTAATGATATTTCAATAATTTTTAATATTTCTTATATGTTTTTATATTACATTCATATATTTTAAAATAGAAAAACAAATAATATCAATATCCTATTAAGTATTAGTATTAAAAACTATTAAGATAAGTCTATATTTATACTATTTAGATACTATTATATTAGATATATAATTGAAGTATAAATCATTTTTAGTTTATTATTATTATTGTAATGTTATTTGTTTTTTATATTCTCTCTTTATACAGGATATAGAAAAACAAATAATATTTATATTATATTGAATAATAATATAAAAAAACTATTAAATAAAGATTTTACTTATAAAATCAAAATAGAGTAAAATTAAATCTTTTTATAGATATCTATATAATAATAAATGTTTTTTATACTATATCTAGAGCTACTATACAGAAAAACAAATAATATTAATACTATATTTAATATTAGTATTTAAACTCTTTTAAACAGGATATATAATATTGCTTGAGTATAATAGTATAAAATATATAAAATCAAAGATTTTAATTTTTAATATTATAGTATAAGAATTTATATAAGATTATATGTTTTTTATATTATTTGTATAAATATTATTTTTAAAAACAAATAATATTAAGATCATATTAAGTAGAAAAGTATTATATTCATTTCTATTTATATAGTAAATTTAACATTTCTTACCTATAAAGTTATTTCGATTTTTATTTGTTTTTCATATTTTAATTTTATAAATATAGATGAATAATCTTAAATCTTTAGGCTATTATATATAGTATACTAAACGAGAGAACTAGTCTTAATATTTATGAGTTAATTCTCCCTATATATAAGTAGCTTTTCTAAAAGAATATAATATTAATAATCAAAATCTATTATTATAGATAATAAGTCATTTATATACTTTTTAAACCGGTTTTTTTTATATAAAAAAGCTTTAATAGTATATCTTATTAAGAAAAACAATTCCTGAGAGAATTTATTAAGAAGACTTATTGAAAACGTATTATAGATAAGCTTTTAATAAAAAGGGATATTATATATAACTTTCTATAAACATCTACTATTATAGTCTAATCAAGTACTAAGTGAAACATTTAGATATAACATTAATGCCTTTATATAGCTCTATACTCTCGTCAAGGTCTTTACCGTAACTCGAACCCCTTTCGAATCCATCTTCGGCATCGCGACCTGGTAGTCATGAATAAAAGCTACATCACTCTCGTCTGTTTCGAATAGTTTCATATCAAACCTGGTGATCAGAGCAGCTGTAACCAGATATAGTTCTGCGCGAGCAAGTTCGATGCCTATGCAGATACGACCACCTTTACCAAACGCCATTTGATACTTGCGACGCTCGCGGCCCTCGTCACCTAGCCAGCGTTCTGGGTCAAACACAAAGGGATCTGGGAAAACAGTCTCGGCTGTGTGGGCGCTCAAAGTTGTTATGCTAATAGGTGTGCCAGCGGGTATCTTGTAAGATTTTCCTTTGTTTATCGTCGATTTAACATGTGAGGAAGGAGTATATGTCAATTGTTCATGTGCGATACGAGCCGTCCTAGCTGTGACACCAAAAGATAGACGATTTCCTTCTTCAATGACCGCTGAGAGATATGGAAGATGCTCAAGTGTTGCCCAGGAAGTAGAGGTTTCAGCCGTATCAAGTTCAGCCCGAAGTTTCTTGATGATTGCTGGATTTTTAAGCAGATGGTAAAAGATTATTTTTAGCGTTTGGGCAGGTGATTCTGTCCCAGCTAAAGCCGAAAGTGATCCTTCCTGTTGAAGACGAAGCAAGGCCTTTTCTGGTGGAGGTAGAATAGCACTATCAAGTACTGAGGCGAAGACAGACTCTTTCTTTCTTGGACCTAGAAACTTCTCACTACTGACCTCAGATAACTTCGCGCTCATAATACTGGTCAACTCGGTGCGGACTCTCTGTCATTTCAAGTCAATAATGGTTGGTTGCGTTTGAAGACCACTAGAAGCTTACATCAAAAAGTGCATGCATATCTACTAGACCCGGTGGCATGATTGGTTTGCTTATTGATAATGGAAGGGATTCTAAGAAATCTGGAATCCAAGGTAGATGCTTGTTTATATTAATTCCCATTAGAAGCTGACAGCTATTATGACGAAGAACAGCAGCTTGGGTTTCATCTGATAGAACATCAACTTGATGAGCGAACAAGAAGTTTGTAACGACACTGCTTAGAATTAGCCCCTTAATGCATATATATATATCATTCAAACTGTACTCATTGGAAAAAGCAAAAAATAGATCTGATAAATTAGTGGGCGTATCCTCTTTCACATGCTTCTCAATCATTTGACACAGATGTTCCACCTTCTTGTTGATTAATGGTTCAAGGTGTAGAACATTTCGTTTACTGAAAAAGGGGCTCAATGCAGCGCGTCGCTTTCGGTGAAGGTCGTAACGAGCTGTCGTTCCCACACCTCCTGGGATTCTAAGAGTTCGCAGTTGATATTCATACTTGTCTCTGGGTGAGGTTGATGGAGCGTAAACAGTATCTAGAAAACCAACATCCTGTATGTGAAGTTCATCTGGAGTGATTCGAACGATAGGTCCTTTTGTGATTTCGAGGTCAGTAGTGATCAATATGTAAGATCTTACGTAGTTCTTTTATCTTACCATATTGCTTATGGAGTTCTTGTATTTTAAAGACGTATTGTCCTGGCTGAATAACATCAAAGTAGAATTCATACCACCAGGTGAGTGCTGCAAGTTTAGGTCCTGGAATATGAGCTAGGGAATGAAAATAGAGACGACGAATGGCTTCGACAATCGTCACAATCAATGACAAAATTACCGTTGTGCCTAAAAGCTGAGCGAAAGCCATTTCGAATTATTTTAGAAGCTGGAAAGCTGCTAACGGTTAGTTGTTTCGAGGTAAATTTTTAAAAGGGACATTATGGAAAAGAAATAAGCAGGACTCACGGCGAAAAGTGCGGGTTTTGCAGAAATTTCGATTTTCGGTGAGTGTTAGCAATCATCATGCACCAAAAAATCACCAACATTTGGAAGCTGACATTTGGTGAGGTCAATGTTACCCCACCGAACGCTCAGCGGCCTCTGGACAAAGGCAGCCATTTCCGGTCGGAGGATGTTATAAATGGGTTAGATGAAGATCCCAATTCGTCGTCTTACTTGTATTAATTTAATTAGATATACCTACTGGCTGTCTTATCTTATTACGATCAGAACGACAAGAAAAAGATTCGCGTGGCTCGATTTAGGCCTAGGAAGAGTTAAAGAATGTCGATATTTTTTTCCAGAGGTAGTATAGAACAGATTCGGGAATGGGGCTAGGTACTCTACTAGCTTTATATATTTAAGCGTCTTTGATTTACATACAGACTATAGAATGTATTATTTCTAGAGTCCTAGACTTCTTTTCCGAGGAATAGTAATAAAAGCTCTAGAAGATAATCTTCCTACTCATAATATAATTAGATGAGTAGTTATTATTCGATTCCGACTAATAAGTAAGACTTCTTAAAGTATTTAAGAGATATTTCGAGTAGTCTCTATAAGTTTTTAATGAAAAAATATATAAATACGTTTTTTTAAAAAAAAAGTAATAGTAATAAGTTTTCCTTTAAATAATTTCTCCCCAAAAAGAAAATAATACAAATCTATTAATTAATTAATTATTTAATTCTATAAGCTATTTAATCTCTCTTTTAAATCTAAGCTTCTTATTATTATTTCTAATAAATAAGATACCTAGAGATTACTTATTATACTCTATCCCCTAGAGTACGAGTTTATAGCGCTCAAAGTGGTCCGTGCACCGAATAAGAACATTTATAGCTTTATAAATAGTATTATATATAAAGATTTCAATGTTATATTTGAAGATTGAAATTTATTAGAAAAGTAATAATAAATATATTATAAAAGAGTAGAAGGTAATAGGGTCGTAAAGTAGTCCTTTATAAATACTATAAATAAGTTACTGAGATATAATACCTCTGATAGAGGAGAAGAGGAGTAGGCTCTATATAGTGTATTATAAAGTGTATAAGAAGATAAGTAGAAACTAATTGCTTTTCTCTAAACTATATAAAGAAAACCTATAAATACTAGCTACAGAAAGAAGTCACATGACCAGTACCAAGTTTCGCTCACAATATCAACTATATCTCTATAGTTTTTGAATTGCAAAATAATAATTAAATGATTTTAAAAATATTATCATATTTCATCCTCTCAAATAAAAGTATTTATAAATAATTTCTATACAATTTATATTTAAAAATATATATTAAATCAGAAACTCGATATTTATTAAAAATAAAAAGTATAAATAAAAGATTATATAAAACTTTAAAGAATATACTATTTTTTTTTATTAAAATAGTAAGCATTGAATAACTATTGTAGAAAAACGTATTAAAATAATAAGAATTCTCAAGATTCTGATGTTCTGATTGGTCAATAGATCCCCGTTAAGCGAGGGCGCCGTAAACACGCACTCTAGGAGATAACATCATTCGTTGATTATCTCTCCAGCCTCAATCAATCAATTATACAGCCCAAGTTTCAATCTACAGATAATAATTCCTCCTCACATACATATACATAGTTACATACCCAGATATCCTCACACCATCTCACAAGATACCTAAGAAAACACACGACTCGGGAGTAATTATGTATATCCCAACGCAACACAACTTAATTTTCGCAACGAGATGAATCAATCAACTGCCGATATACAATGGTGATCTACAATACTCTTCGCCTGTCGCACAATCATGACAAGTCATGAGTTCTGAACAAAACACATGATACCATTTGACTCAGTTGGAACATCAAATGATGCGCTCGTATGAATCATTTCCTTTACCCAATCCTAGTATCTATGTATATCATAACAGAGGAATTAGTACAAGAGATTAAATTGAGATGGTTAGACGTGAAATGAAATGAAATGAAGTAAAAGCAGTCGCGATATGTAAGGAGAAAAATTTGCTATTGTACTCTGTATCCCCAACCAACTGCAATGTTGTGCTTGAAAGTTGTACGGCAACGCTCATAAATTATGTACAAATGAAGTATCCTCCTACATTTAATCAATTAATTTCCATCGAAAAGACGGAAACAAATTGAATCAAATCAAAATATGTGTGGAATTCGAGCTCTCCCATTAACAAAGTAAAATAAAGCGTGGTATCTCTAGCTAGAAAACTCTGTAAATGCCAAAATATCCCAAAATTCCCACCAATTACCCAAAAGGAGATATCATCAAAACCCCGTAATTAATCTCTAACCGCCGTATGCCATGTATCGTAACAGATGAGTTATTGTTGTTGGTGATCAATCAATTGCAAGAAGAGCAAAGTGGCCGCCAACGACTGGACGAGCGATGAAGGGACCTGACCACCAGCTGTGATTGTGTTAGTATAATCTGCATGATAGAAGTAGTGATGGATGTGATAACTTACTCTGCAGTCTGAGTATTGTAAAGATCGGTGAAGGCGCGGTCGGTTGGAGTAACACCAATCCATGTTGCAAGTTTGGAGATGAACATGGACTTTGTGGATGGAGATGCGATTGCTGCTGCCCACATTTCCCAATCGGCTGTTTGGAAATAACGTTAGTAGCTGCAGCGTAGAAGATGTGCATGAAACTTACATTTGGTGCAAACATTTCTGGAGTCAAGTTGAACACCATATACATTAGCAATCGTTGGGTAGTATTCGCTTTGCATATCGTAAATGCGTTTTGGGACGAAATTGAGCTTCAAAAGTTTATCTGCGTAAAGGTTATACAAAAGACCATGTCCAGTATTATCTTGATAGGCCAATTTGGTATGTGCTGGAACAGATGCAGTTGCTGGGACAATAGCGAGTTTCTCCCATTTTGTAAGGTAATCGTGTGCAATATTTGTATAGTTCAATGCATCGGCGGAATTTCCGGTAATATTTGCAATCACTGACATTGCTTCGATCGCGATGATACCTTTGAGGGCAAGATTGGTTTGATTTGCGAGAGTGCCTTGGAAATCATCGGTGGAGAGTTGATTTGCTGGAATCAAAGCTTCAGCGACTAGGAAAGTAGTCCATTGTTTGAGCAATGGGTAATGTTGAGTCAAATATGCGGTATCGGAAGAATGTTGAGAGTAGGCGAGAGTCATGATAATCATGTTTCCACATTCTTCAAGAGGCATAGGTTCTATTCATAGTTAGTATGTAATGATTGTAGACCAAGGGAAGACCTTACCTCCATCACCAGTTGGATGTCCAATCGCACGAGGATAGTTGGCACCTAAATCATGGAGAGAATATTCCTGAGGAAAGTGACCGGCCTCTTGGTTCTCATAAAGAGGATCAAGTAAGTACTTAAGCAAAGCAGGATTGGTATAGAGAAAGATGGGCATGGCTGGAAACATGACATCGACAGTCTGAGTATTGCCGTCGGAACTAATCTCTTTGAGAAAATAGTATGGCTTATCGGGAGTTCCGCAGAGTTGGACAGCTCCGAATGCTTGACGAGCTGAAAGAGAGGTGATAGTCAAGTAATCTTGACCACCGGCTGCAAGAGAGTCGACAGCAATTTTATGGTCCCAGACACCCCATTTCATGGACCAATCGTTGTAAAAATCGGTGAGCTAAAGCAATCAGCATGGTATAGCATAGAAAGAAGAAAAGAATCCGCATACCATAGAGACATCAGAATTCCAATAACTAGCCCATAAAGAAGGAACCGATCTCAGTCCACCATCTCCGAGGAAAATGATTGCGTTTTCTTGAGCATGGACAATGGTGTACAGTGTTTCGACCGTAGTACTTCCAACATTTCCGAGATTGTTCGCAAATCCAAATACTGGCCAAGCATCTTCGATAGCTCTGTAGACTGTGTCCTGAGTGTTTGGAAGAGAACCATTATTGAGGAAATTTCCGCGAACGACGGAGTCCTGTCCCGATTGGTATGACATGCCATCGACGGCTTTGGTAGACCACAGCCAGTAACCCCAATGAGCTTGATCATCTGCATAATCCTCGTTGAATTCGCTTTGATCTTGTCTCCAACTTCGATGGGAACCAATGCCATCATTTACAGTATAACTATATAGAAGTCAGAATGATTTCTCTCAAGAATTTCGAAATTAGAACAACTCACTCCCATTGTGCGGTATCCGATTTGTGGATGGAAGTCCATTCTATGTTTTCGTCAGCATGACCCCTTCATTATAGACCAGAAAGAACGTACCTGCAGATGTGTCACAGTACAACTCAACAGCATGAGTAGCGCCGTCCAATGATTTTACAGATACATAGAGATATGTACCGATAACCGATTGTCGTCGAATGTCATCTGGTGTGAGCGGGGATAAGAATGTAACGTTCATTGATACTTTTCCGCCGACAGTCATCAAGAAAGTGGATCTGGCGGAAGTATACTCCATATGATCTTGAGTAACACTTGGTGGAACAACTCCATTGACGCCTGCAGCACCCATCCAGGTGTAAGATGTGCCGTCCCTATGTATAGTTTAGTAAGAATGATCGGGGGAAATCTGAAATCGATAACCACAATAGTCCAAGGGCACTTACACTTTGATGAGACCAGCCCAACCTGTGACGGAGCCAGCTCCTCCGGCAACCGAACCGTCAGGTTGAGGTCCGCTATTCACTTTGTTAGAGCATACCTCATGTAGCCAAGAATTTCGACTTACGCCCAGAAACGACTACATAAATGTTAGTTTTGAACGCTGATACTCAATGAATGGAGAAACTTACGGCCAATACCCCGGGAGAATACCTCCACTAGCACCAACACTTCCTGCCTCCAGCCATGTATTCATGTATGGTGATTTGACTACTTCAAATTAGATTTATCCTCAAATCGAGAGACTGTTATAAGTACCAGCTAAAGGAATCGCAGGAGGTCTAACTGGACTAAATGTAGAACCAGAGACGAAGTTAACGACAGTGCCTAGCACTCCCGCTAAAAGAGAAGTCTTCATGATGGTAATCACCAAAGAAGAATCAAATAATTATTAATGATTAAAGGTATTGCAATGTAGGGAGTGGTATTAAGAAAGAGTTATGCTCTTGAATCAAGAAAGAAGGAAAGGAGTCGTTGAGTTTGTGGTTGTGAAGAAGACGGGGAGGAGGGGACTTGGAGCTCTTTTGTAGAACCAAACAATAAGCTAGTTGGACCTCAAAGGAGGGGTAGCAACGGGATATTGTTAACAATTTCAAATGGGGTAGGTAGCAAGTGATGTGAATTATATGCTCGAACAAGGGGTAAAGATTGCCCAAATGATGCTCTCAATGAGGGGTGTTTAGTTTAAAGATGGAACGATATGATATGAACCTATAGATATTCAAGATGCCAAGAACGAACATGCGCTCATGAACAATTTGAGTGAATTCATTTCGCTTGATACTTAGCTCACGTCATAAAGGGGTAAGTGAATCCGTAGGGTCAAAAGGCCCGAAGCTCACAGAAGCACTTCTGTGTGGAAGCTTAACCTTGGCTTACTATCACAAGGAAATAGAATTGATCCCAAAATGGCATTTGATGCAAACCATTTTGATATTGATGATCATCTTGCGCCCCGTGTCCCTAGTAAAATCTGATCGCATCCCAGCGCAATGCGAGCGAAAAGCATGCGAGGCATGGTCCTTGACCCTGTAGCACGCTACAACGTTAGCTAGTAAAAAGGCCTGTAGCAAGGATTAGTAGTTTGCGAATAACATAAAACTATAGGCCAAATAACATCAGAAACAATCAATAGCTTTGCAGATTTATTATTCATCTCAATTTCCAATGTTAGACAATTTAAGTCAGCAACCAATACATTCAAGAAAACTCAAAAAATAAGGCTTCCCTTAACATTGACATGAGTTGTAATGCAATCACCTTTTGTCTAACGAGATCTCGGGATCATTAGAACGTGGCTTTCATGAGTTGAAAAAGTTTGTTCGGAAAACTAAAAATGTGCCGAAGTAAATCAATTTAATGATTCAATAAGTCTATCATTTATGAAGGAAATGATCTACAACATTGCTAGGATCTCTATCAAGTGTCTTCCTTCGCCGAGTCATCTTATTAGCATAGGAGGTACTGCGAGAGATAAAATACATATTCCAAGACCAGAACTCGGGATTCGGAAGATCTACCGATCCTTGAATTCACTACCCGCTACTTGCGGGGTGTGGGGCAAAAGCTGGGGTTGAGTCGCGTTGAAGGAATGACAATCTCCGCGTGAGGTTACTTGTGTATGTATGTACTCGGAGACAAAATACTTTCTGGTCGCTTGACCGAAGCATGTGCGAGATGACGGATGAAGATCATTCATTGTCGTACATCGTCAACCTCATCCAACGACATCTCGAAAAAGAAAAGATGAAGTAACTTTTTGACATTATTTTGATGTTGTTGTTGATTGAAAAGTACAAAGCCTTACGTCCTTTGAAGTACAACACATCGACACCAAGGTATATTGGCTCTGTAATAGAAGGGATGCAAATATGGATGAAGATCAACTCATTTCCGAGTAGCCAACCATTGTTGAAAGTAGAGCCCAGTGAAGTGGTCACTCATACACCACACCAAGTACGAAATTTAATATTCAGCCTGAAATCAAAAATTTCAAGTGATGTGCAGGTACTGCTGGCAAATATCGTGTTTGTGAAGGTCGATTGGATGATTGAGGTTGGGAAAACGCGAACAAAATGACACGAAAACGATGATCAATGACAGGACATGAGATATTGAACATTGCATCGTGCATTGCTCAGAAATTTTGAATGGTAAAGAGCCCAAATCAAAAAATACATCGAGGATTTGTCGACGTCTGTAACCATGTGTAGAGATGAAGAATTGAGCAGAAAGAAGGCTTGCTTAGTAAGGTTAATGCATGATTATGTAATAACGTTACGACGTACATGCGCCGCTGCCGTGTGAGGCTTGACGAGGTGAAAAACGAAACCTCATTTTCCGCATTTCATTCTTTTGCTGAGCTGATAAGGGGTGCATTAAAAATAGCTTTCTATTGCCGTGAAGAATCTGATTTACTTACTGGCCGTTGAGTTGCTCATCTTTCTCAATCAACGACTCCGCCACCCTTCTTAGTTTGGGTTCCGCATCTCGAGATGAAGGGTTAAGTTAACTCACGGACACATTCATCTTTTGTCGATCAAATCATTGATTCATATTATTTGTTTGCTACCTGATTCTTGCGATAGGAAGTTCTGCCTCACTTGTCAAGCTTGAGTGATAGCTGATACTGTCAAATCATTTGCAGATGAAGTTGGAATCACAAAGCCTTATCCAACGAATGTCGAATTATCTACAGACTCTGTTCAAGATCTATGGTTTAATTCCCGCATTCGACATGTCAGAATATATGCAGGTCATAGAGTTATGGAAAAGTGGAAATTCGGGATTCGATCGACAGGAGATGTAATGATATGCATCAACATCTAGAACAATGTCTGAGAGGTAGCTAGCTCGATGATCACTGCGCATCCTGGACCAGGTTTGGATTCCACTGATAAGAATAACGAAACAGTGACACTCTGATGAAAACAAACTAGATGATATACATAACAGCATTCAGAATCGATTGTCTACTCTCAGCAATTCCTACACTACATTGTTTGTCCAGAATGCACGAGACTGAGGCAGTGCAGGGACTTCAATCATCTTCTCTGCTCTTTCTGTGCAAGCCTTAATACTGAAATTATTCATTCGGGGCGTTGATGATTACGCATATGGATACAAGCTTTTGTAAACATGATCCGCGAGCTATAAGGGAGCCTGCAAAGATTCGAGCTACTTGTGGGAGAGTGTGAGAATCGGAACATCCCTCGGATTTATGAATATGAACGGGGCGAGGTCTTTGTGTCTGGGTTTGACTGTCCTCTGAATGAGTCTGACAGAACCACTGAAGCTATTGGAACAATACGTACTGGGGAATTACAAATGGCTATCGAAGGAGGGCTCGCCTCTTGATTGAGGGGTAATTCTGGATAAAAATTGGGTATGGGATGCCCCAAACGGATGAAACATTTGACACAAATACCTCGTAATATTCTCTAAAGGCACCGCAGGGTATATCGATTTATACGGCAAAAAAGGACTTGTCCCATCACCTCCAGCAAGCCATAGAGCCAAGAAATTGACCCAACATGTTTGCAACTTCATGTTTGTATTTCACTGTTCTGTCTTGCATTCCCTGTGAGTTGAATAGTTATCATTCTCAGAGTTTGTAGGTACATCATTCATATACCAAGTATGTCCTGTGCAAGTGCCTTCTTTCATACCACTCACCCATTCCCTCGACTTTCCCTAGCACAGCCGAATCTCTCCTTCATTCAAACTTCACCCCAAATTCACTCAAACACACTTCACACCCTCACCGCATTCTTATCTCCATTCATCCTTATCTTCATCCACTCATACGCAATGGATTCTGCACAAGAAAGTTTTGTTGCATATCTCAAAATTATAGATCTCGGAATACCCTCAAATTTCATCTCTTACACCCAAAATAAAAGCTTCATTTTTTCCTTCCCAAATTCCCATCCATGAGGAGGTCAACTTTGAAGTTCTTGAGCAGTACAAACATAAAGTTCGACGAGATCACTGCCGCTATCGTCCGATCCCATCTATTTCATATTCACTTGCTATCGGTATCTACTATCTGCTATCTCCTATCTGTTGTATGAAAAAGTTTTGTTGCATATCTACAAAACATAGATCTCACGATACTCGAGTTTTTGAGGCTTCACAGTGAAAACAAAAGCTTCATTTTTGATCCTTTGAATTTGGATTGATGAGGAGATCAACTTTGAAGCTTTTGAGGAGCACCGAGATGAAATTCTAAGGGATCACTGCCTCTGTCGTCAGATCTCACGTAACTCATATTCACTTACCATCAGTATCTGCTATCTACTATCTCTTATCCAGTACAACAAAAAGTTTTGTTGCACGTCTACAAAATATAGATCTCACGATACTTCCCCAAAACCCGCTTTCTACCAAAATTAAAAGCTTCATCTTTCCTCCTCTAAATATGGCTTAATGAGGAGAACAACTTTGAAGTTCGTTGAAGCCTTCGACATAGAATTGCTTGACTTCATCTCCATCTGCATGTCTCAAGGCTCACAACTCACTCCACTTCACCAGCATTCACTTCGCTTGACGTCACTCTCTCACCGCCCAACCTCATCCTGATTCATTCTCGAGAAGTTTTGTTGCATATCTACAAAAGTCAGATCTCACGATAGTTGTCAAAAAGACGCCTTCCTACCAAAATGAAAAGCTTCATTTCTATTTCCCTGTTATCTTGAATTCTCTACTGATGAGGAGAACAACTTTGAGCTTCCTTACCAAAGATTTGGATCTGCTATCATGAGACTCTCTTATAGCCAACTTCACTCGATACATACATCTATATACCCGAGCTTCGCTTCTCTACCGACTAATGAAAAGTCATGCGTTTGTTCACTTGAAAAAGTTTTGTTGCATATCTACAAAAGTAAGATCTCACGATAGTTTCCAAAAGAAGCCTTCCCACCAAGCTTTAAAGCTTCAATTTCTCTTTTCATGAATTTATGTTCAAGAGGAGATTAACTTTCAAACCCGTAGATCTCAATCATCAAATATCAAAAGCCAGAAGGCACCTCATCGCCGACTACTCATTGCTTAGCAATGAGCTTCACCTTCTCCCTATCTACCAGGTACCGACTATCTCAACATTCACTTAAACTCCAGCCTATAGATTCTCATTCATCCCTACAGAAAAGTTTTGTTGCACATCTACAAAAATGAGATCTCACGATAGTTGTCCAAAGAGGCCTCTCCACCCAAACGAAAAGCTTCACTTCCAATCCCTACGAATCTGGGTTCAAGAGGAGATCAATTTTCCAAACCCCATACCTCTCAATTACCAAATTCTCAGAAGCCAAAAGTCCCCTCGTCGTCCCCCACCACTTATTATTCTCCAGCAGCAAGCTTCACTTCTCCGTCTCGAGATTCACTTCAACTCCGACCAATAGAAAGATAGATATCCTTCCTGCACATTCATTCTAAATACAAAAAAATTTTGTTGCACATCTACAAAAATCAGATCTCGCGATACTTTCTCAAAACCCGCTTTCTACCAAAATGAAAAGCTTCATTTTTTTTGAGATTTGGATCGCCGAGATCGAATCTCCCTTCTATGGAGAGATCAAGATTGAGTTGGGATTCTTATTGATCCTTTGGGATTTTTATAGAGGGATAGGTACCTAGGTAGGTACGAGTATTCACTTCAAACTTCACTCTTCCCACGCTTCACTTTATTCTAACCAATGGTTACCCCTCCATCTCCCAAGATAAATTTTGTTGCATATCGCAATTTCACTTTTGGATGAAAGTGGTGAAGCTTTCTCGGAAAGTGTTGAATTCCATAAAAACAACATCTAGGTATGTACAGAGCTGACGGGTCTTCTGGAAAAGTTCCATGTTTGAAATGACGAGGAGAATAAAGCATCCCTTGGGCAAGAGGATACGATTGAGCAAACTTATCGCCGTCGCTACTCTTATCCCATATTCTAGTGATGAGATAGATATTGGATTTAGTACAGGTTATTACTATCAGGCTATCGAATTTCTTAGATTTCCTCGAGGAATATTTCGTTGCACGTCTACCTAGGTAGGTAGGTAGGTAGGTAGTTCATCTTTAGATTTCCACGTAAGGGAAATCCTCGAAGTCTATAGAAGGTGGGTGTATCATAAGCTCAGGTTCAAGATTGTGAGAGGTAGAAGATGAGGAAAACAGGCGCTAGAATATTCTGCATAGATAGAAACTCATTACAGGAAATTCGCATCACAGCCATAAATCAAAGGATGCATCCAAGTTTAACAAAATTTCTACATTATTCAAATAAAATTTGATAGGAATCTATGTCATCTTTATCATCTCATCCCAAGTTTCCGCTCCAAACTCCTTGTTTAAGTCACTACCAGAAAATAAAAGAACAGGGACTGTGTGTCTGACTTTGAGAGTTAACAGGTCTGTGAAAAAGAATCTAACATGTTCTTAGCTCCGTAATGCGATGAGTCTATCATCCCCTTGTTTCTTTTTGGGCAAGATCAACTGCGTTCAATAACGGACGTCTTGGTGTATATCTGATGCGACGCGAAACCAAATAAACAATGTATGGCATCAAGTGGACATGAATTAAGAAGCGATCTGAGCATCCAAATAACTTGATTGTCCTCCCAGAATATGCAACAAGACGTTGGTAGTTGTGTAAAGGTCAGTGATGATAATCCTCGGCGGCCTTTGATATTTGGTATCTTGTTGCCCCCTCCTGATACCATAGGAATACTTCCAGCTTTGGAGACGTCACAAGCATCTATCCTGAGCTCCCAGCCGGTGTAATAAATCAGAATGAAGGTATGTAGCTTGGTGTCAGGGTATGCGGTAAACTGGACTGACAGAATGGATAGAAGCTTTGAGTGCTTGAAATGGATTCAACACTTTGAAATATTCGAATTAGGACCAGTATCTAGTAGCTCTAATTGCTGAACTGCATTTTGGACTATTGGAAACCCAGTTAAAAACTATGTCTTTGGATAAACACACAGGTGAATATTCGAGTAGGTCATTGTGGTTGAGAATTTTCGGTATGAAACCAACACGTATAAGACGCTTCTAGTTTACTTCACGCAAAACAATGTCGTAACTGAAACATCGAAGGCTTAAACACGTTAAAAGGCTGTCGATTTCCTAATTCTCAATCGCTGTTGGCTAGTAGTAAGATCCCGAATACCCATCCGTTGTTCCATACTCTAGACTCTGACGGTCTGGTGTTCCTGGCGAGAAGGAGATATTCGGCGGATTGTCCAAGTTAGACATCTCATTATGCCCAAAACTTTGATGAAAAGCAAGAGATCCATTAACGTCAGTTGACTGAGAACTTGAGGTTTGCATTGGATCTGAAACGAAATATGATTGATCAAAATTCTGTAAATCGACCATTCCTGAATTTGGATTCAAATTGAAAGACTGGTTCCAGCTTCCTGTCTCTATATGTGGACCATTCATATAATCGTAGAATGGGATTTGGTCTGGCGTATTTGTCGGAACTTGTGGTACAGGTCGGAAATCCAATTCATTTGGGTCCATTTCTTGCTCGCCGTGTGATCCAGACACAGAGGCAGGTATTGCACTGCTCAAGACTCCCTGGTAAGGAGGGTTAGACCTGAATAGATCCGAGTTTGTGATATCAAACGTGGGCATATAATTCATATTCTCTTCTTGTGAATTCTGTTCAGATGCTTGATGATGTGCTTCGTTCGATACTGTGCTCGAGTAGTTTTGAGAGGAAGGAATGGAAGAAAGTCGACCCGCTGAGGCTTTTTGATCTGTATAGACAGATGCAGGGATGTCGTCGGGTACAGAAAGCCTATCCGGAGACGTAAGTGACACCATCCTATGCTTTCTTTGCAAAGTGACGTATTAGTAGCTTTCATATAAAATTGATGCAGAACCTACCCTTCAAAGGTATAGATACAATCCACTGGTGGATATCTCCTCGAACAATGCCTACACGGTTGTTCCCTACTGCATTTTTGCTTTCTTTTCTGACACTGTAAACACGCAGTCGGCGTCCTTGACCTTGCTGTTCGCTTTGATGCTTCATCTGATTTCTGCATGTCTTCGGTTAGGCTTTCCTGTTACATGACTCTGGTTTAATCTTCATTTCCTCGTGGGAATTCGACTTTTTATGTCTTACGAAAGTTACAATCGGCTGATAGGGCTGAGAGTACATTCGGTACATGGTAATGTACAGTTTCGGTGATTTGACGAAATCGGTTAGAGTTGGCGCAAAAAATGCATGGTAATGCTTGTAAGCCAAGTGAGGTGTCGTCGAAATGGGGTGAAGGATTTGGAGCTTCGTTGAATGGACGAATGAGCATAAAATGGCGTAGATTTTGCTTTAGCAATACTATGATGAGCCTATGGAAAATTCCTTTTGGTATGTGTAAATAGTTTCAGCATCTTGGCAGACACCAAGAGATATTTTTATCTTCAAACCTCATACTTGGCACAAAAGGTAAGCTATTGAACAAATGTTTCAGCCGTACCTATTGGTCCAAAACTGCCAAAACTTTTATTCTGCATCTTTTGGTGAGCAGGCCATCCATGCAAATCAATTTTCCGCCTGAAAATGGGTAACGTATCATATTCTAACAGCGGATAATACCCAGATTTGAACACATGCCACAACATATTTCTGTGAATCACAAGAAAACAAATGATAGATTAACCAATGATAAGTGAAGCGTTTCTTCTTTGCATTTTCGTTAATGCTTCTGTGTCATAAAGGCGCAAGGCACTTGCCGTTCCAGTCAATTTCAGTCATATAATCATCAAGACTCACCGCACCTCTAAATAATTATCTCTTCACTCAGTCGTTGTCTTCTCAATGTCTCTACTGATAACCCACGAAACGTGGAGAGTCAGCAACGGCCAGCCAGTCATCAAGTGAGGTACAGAGTAAGATTCGACAGCTCTAGCTGTAATCATTTCTGATACATTTAAGGCTATGAAAGTAAAACATAACCTAAGGGGACAAAAGAACCCGGAATATCCATGATATCAGATCAGGCACCAGTAAATCGAGAATAGATTCAAATATCCCCGGTCGGTGAGTTCAAGAGAATTGAAAGCGAATCCTCGTCGGCGATAGCATCAAGCTCTCAGATACGACGTGGAGTATAAGCTCTGTTTTGAACATGGCTCAATTCATCCTATGACTGCATCAACATGGAGCTGGCCAGGAGCAGCACCTTGTTCTTTGTATCTGATAGCTGAAAGTATGTGAATCAACTATGTGCACACTTTTCTGGTCTCTCCAAAACCAGCAAGCGGCTCAATTGTCAGTACCGGCGGGATAATTCGGACCCCAACACCTGCGACATTTTACAGCCTTGCTGGAACAAGTGATTTACAGGGGATCCGTATCAGGATTCAAATGCGCAAACATTTTCTGTCTTGATAGAATTTAGACCTTTGATCGACAATTTTTGATACTTTGGCCTGCTTGCATCCCAAATTGGCGAACGCATTGAGCTGGAAAGTAGGAATATCGAAAGGAATATTGGCTGAGAAGGTATCTATATTTAGACGCGCAATTAAGAACATATATAACTCTAATATATTGAATAACATGGTATCGATGAGGTCTGAATCTTCAATTCTCGATGCTTGACATTTGATGGGTGGATGGACGAAGTAGAGGTATTGTGCTTGGAACTACTATGTCAGTACGAAGTACGGTAAGTCGAAGTGAAAGGGTTTTAGGACATGGTCCACAACTATCGACAATTTGACTGGGTTCAAATCACGTGAAACGATCCAAGCTCAAGCAAGCTGTATATGTAACCGATATCCCTACATCTTATAAGATTACAACCCTCTATCTTGTATACTTTTATTTATTTTTGAAATAATATTCTAAAGTCTATATACAATCAATCAATCATCATGTTCTGTTGAAATTTCAATTAAAAAATAAGTCTACACATGGGGGCCAGCCCTCAATCCCTCGATCCTCGCTACGCTCGAGTTTAAATTTTGATTAGTTTTCTATCAAGCTATTTATACAGATTTCAATTTAGATACTAATACTTTTTATTCTTTTTATACATAATTCATTAGATTATTAATAGTAGAATAGTAGAATAAGAGTCTCATGAATTCTCGAATGATTGAGTCCACAAGCGTGAGCTTGCTGACTGCATCGCGGGTCCAAGACCCGCCTGCTTCTTTCAGCACGTGTTTGCATTGCTCCCGTAAGGCATCCACGATACCACTCGAAGGGTCATGGCTGAAGAGATCTAGAAGTACATTTTGTATCGTAAAGCTCGTGGAATGTAGAGATACATCATTCAATAGAAGCAGGCGTGGGCAACGCGCTTGGGGTTCAACTGCGAAGTTTCCTTGGTTGTATGGCACTCATCAATTATCCACTGAAGGGCATCTTTCTGCGGATGATCGATTGTCAGCTTTCACGTAATAATACAGAGAGAAAGGCGGTTGGTATTTACCGGAGGAATCCAATCATAACTAGAATTCTGCTTCAATTGCGCCGTATTATCCAGTCACTCTTTAACATAAGGAAGGCATATCTTAAGGGTTCTTCGAAAGAAATCATCACAGGTCTATGCAACTAACATCCCGGAAACTAGCTTCAATATTGTGGGCGAACAGTTTATGAATATGGCACCGGAGATGATGCTCATGACATGATTCTCGAAGCCGTTTCAAGGAGCGATTATCATGATCTACGTAAAGGCATGCATCAGCATTCTAATCAAATACAATTTGTCGGCTTTGAATATACAGAGAGGAGCTCCGCAGAATGCCCCGTTTCCAGCTCCTGCAATTAACTTCAAACACGAGTCTTAGACTTGAGTTTCCTTCCGCTCTTTGGTCCCGGTGCCCCACCATCGCTCAAATCCTAACTCAAGTTCTGTCGCAATGAGTGATGCTAGATGATCCAGATTTCGTGTCATCTGTTGACGAATTACCTTTATCTGGAAGTTGTTCACCCAAACCTCTTCGTCCCAAACGGAGAAGCGCTATAATTGACAACAATGCTGTTTCGAAAGTTAAAGTCAGTAACTCCCTACTCACTCTTTAGTCACTGTCCTTGATTTCTTGTGGCAGAGATAAACTTCAGCAATGATACTGTCAACAACACAAGAAATGGCTCATTTGTCTCGTTAGGCTCTTGCTGTAGAGAAAAAATGTCAAACAGAGACCAGGAGCATCAAGAGAAAGTCCATGCACCAGATTAGATTTCCAAGTTTAGGAAAAGGGGACGGGAAAGCGGATAGTCTCATGCCATCTCGAACGACCTCAATGCAAACATCAACTTGATCTCCAATGTAGAAGTGTGAAAGCCTGATAGGGCATGCGGATAAAATTGCTTTAGGACAGATATTCCGGGAGTAGACCGTTGAAGGAAATCGACTGGTAAAATCGTGGCTCGGTTCCACACTGTCGGGTCCCTCTCAGTTGACCTAGTGATAGGTTGCATCCGAGGAATGTCCCAGCAGAGGGGTAACCAATCAAAGATACTGATAACGAGGTCCAATTGCAGAAATTGGTCGTCGCGCGTACCTGTAACACGCCTGAAGGGAATCTTCGGGATACTGAATTGGATGAGAGCAGAACACCTGCGCCGGACACCTACTGGAGCTGAGCCATATCCCTACTTGGAGAGCCTGAATAAATTACGGCATCATGTATCAATAATGGCAAGTGATTGATGACAGGTATTTAATAGCCACCCAAATTGGTAAGACTTCTGATGTACATTTAATCAACACCACACCAATACGGAGTACATGAGCAGTTAAGAAATCCGTAGCAAAATTGGATGTATCCATCATAAACGCGTACTACACACTTGACCTTCATGTACATCGTATGATACCTGATAATCAAACAATCTCGACAACCTCCGAAACTAGATTCTCGAGTGAATAACTACTACAATACTACCAATCAAAGCTTTGAAAGGAAAATTACAGCCGCGCCGCTTCCTCGCATCCACGGATAAAAGCACGCACACAAAGATGATCAAAATCATGTTCTTCTTAAGGGGTGGGGTCTACTTGTGTCCCAACTTACATTTTTGTCACATACCCAAGCTACTTCCCATTCTGATCCCTTTCTTTCACCTCCACCCGTCTCCAAACGTCTCCAAGTAGAGATCATGTCTGAAGCAATCACAATCCTGGGATACTCCTTCCCCAAAGCACAGCTTGTCGTGCGAAACACAACTGAGTTTGACGAATGGAATGGTTCATACCTCTCAGCCTTAGAAAGAAGAGGTCAAAGCCTTCATCAAAACAATCAAACCGTTTGTAGAGAGCGATACTCTTACGTTCGCTATCCGTGGCGCTGGACAAGCCATTCCTTCCCGCAGATTCTTAAGAGACGTCAAGAGCACACCAGACCCAACAGATATGCCGAGCTCTACCAACCGTTAAGATCCGCGTGCAGAAAAGCTTGCTAAAAACACGCCATGTAGTTCGAACAAAAATTCGAGGCAACATGAACCCCACAAAAATATGGTCAATTGCACATCGCAGCGGAATAAAAAGTACTCACCGACCGGCTGCAAAGCCTCCTAAACTCTTCAAACATAGGAATACCGACTAACTGCATATACCCAGGTTTTGTCGTAGAGATTTGAACCAGTATACTTAGTAGCAAGTCTCATTGTCGTGCTACCACCAGTTCGCTTTAGGGCATTTGGTCTAGATACTCTAGTAGTTTGTAAAGTATGCACACTTTCAAAGTGCTTATATATGCTTGCCCTAGGGCCCTTGACATAAAAGAAGGGATATCTAAAGGACTTCCAACGGGGCAAATAATAGTAGTGATATCATTAAATTAGATGCCATTTTGCCATGGCTACCTGTTGAGATCATTGTAAAGTACTCTCTCTTGTACATATAAGAAATCATTAATATAATGTAAAACCACCCAAACCTCCTTTCTCTCTTGTCCGTGATTTGAAATAAAGGATACATATCTGATAGTTATGTAGTTATTTTAGCTCGTTTAGTAACATCACTATAAGTCTCTAAGACATTCCTTTTTCGGGACAAGACCTTTCTGCTCTCCCCGTTGATACTAATGCTTGAGCAGTCAAATTCGATCCATATGCGAAGCAGAAAGTCAGCTTTGTAACGCTTGTACTCACTCTTATCACGCACGCGAGCAGCATTACCAAGCTTTAAAAAATCGTCCATTAGTATAGACATCTCAGCGCCACGGTGGAATGTGTTAACCCATTTAATGAGCCCAGCCATATCCGAGACAAACCATTCATCTGTTAGTCTGCTCGAATCTGCGGGATCGCATAAGAACAGTGCAGAACACCAAGGTCTAATAGCGTCAAACATTCCAATATTGGACGCATGGACACTGTCACCAAGAGCGAACAACTTTTTCGTTAGTCCGCTGTGTCCGTACACATTTTCATTTATTGACATCGCTGCCTTCAACCACTCTTTGAATTCTAACCGAAGAGCCTCCGAGTTTGTATCTTGTCTGACTTGTTGACTACATTGTTGAGCATGCAACGCGGCAAGGTATTCCTCATCCGAGTCCATCTCAAGATATGGTTCGATATGTCCTGAATCTTGGCGAATATCGTCAAGATCCAAGTCGTCTGCAACATCTAGCGGCTCTTCACAGTCGGGCGAGAAAATACCATGGCATACCGGTAGAAGGCTCGGCGTTGCCGGCACAATGTCTTTGTTTAGATATACATCTGCGACTGGTGGTGACCGAGGAACCTGCACCTCAGTCGACTTTTGTGCGTCATGTTCGGTGTATGGTGGTGGTTGCGGTTGCGGTTGCGATTGTGGTGGCGGTGGCAGTGGTTTGCTTTTGAGTTCTCGATATTTAACTTGGGCCCAGTCGACTAGCATAATACCTTGTTGAGAGTATATCTTCCGCATATCAGGTTCGCAGATCCATGAGCCCTTATCACGCAAACGCTCGTTAACCGTTTTCAAACTTGCACGCGCGTAATCGGAAGGTCTGATATAAACCTTAAAGCTTTTCGCAACAGATAAAGATCTGAGTTTCTGCATCAATGTACTCGAGGTAGAGTTGGAAGGTAAAATATTCGCAGATTCCCTCTCCTTTCTAATAACAAATCCTGTAAACTGTAGATCGAATGATAGGACAATGATATGCTCCAGATTACTTATACCGGCTTCGTGGAGGGCAGATGCGTCATGGGAGGACAAATCATCGAGCCCTGATATTGGAAAAGATTTTGAGAAACATTCAAAGTTACCGTGCGGCGGGACGACCAATAACATCTCCATTGAACGATTTTTGCCAGTATGCTTGTGAGTCACCTTAAGGGAGAAATAGACATGAATACGTTTTTCTGAATCGCAGACCACTTTCATAAGAAAATTGGTGTTCTCTTTATTGTCGACTAAGCAAGAACCTAACGAATAAGGATGGCCCTCATCAATCCATTTTATATATACTCTCTCTTGAAGGAGATTCTCCAGCCCAAGCTTCTCGATCGGAATCGCCATACCGTGTACTATAATTGTGATCAGTGATGAACATGATAAGGGACAATTTTCTTGGAGATAAATGATCCCACACTCGATGTGTATCCCACCCACCCAGGCTAATAGAGCAGCCTTGACTCTTTGGTATCAATCGAACCGGAATGATTCAACCAATATCTACTGAGGAACCTAACCACCAATACTATATAGCTGTATCAGGGTTGTTCCCAAACAGTAGATATTAAAGAATACAATCTTTATTCAATGCGATGATAGGGTGAAGCAATAATGTAGGAATAGAGATGAATTAAAACAAAAGACGGTTTCCACGAATCGAGAAAGTAGGAATCAGTATAGTTCAAACAGCAGATACTGAGGAACCTAACCACCAATACTGTACAGTCATCAGGGTTGTTCCCAAACAGTAAATACTGAGGAACCTAACCACCAATGCTGTGCAGCTGTATTAGGGTTGTTCCCAAACAGCAGATACTGAAGAATACAGCCTTTGTATGATATGGATGATATTGCAATGATCGATAAAGATGATGAAAGTGGAGAAATGAAGTCGGAGTGGAGACGAATGTAAGCAAGACACTGTTTTCATGAAGCGAAAAAAAATGGTGGATTTGGTTTTGGTTATATAAATCGTGGTCTACGTTTGCCTAAACGCGCCAGAAGCGCAGTAGCTAGTACGTGGGGGTTACCGTAGCTAGTGTTATCCATCCATGTAATTCAAAGGTTGGATTCAATCCCGAAAATCGATATAGAGTCATCGCTGTTCTCTTGTATATATAGGAAGCCTTCTTTTATACTATACTGAGACCTCTCGACTAGAAACTTATTCTCGATATTGTAATGGTTACAACGCGCTATGTAATCGTGGTTGGTGGTGTGGCTAGGTATGGTGGTTCTCGGTGCAGGTGAAATTGGATCTGTGGCTGCTCAACGTGTGGCTGCGCGCATCTTGCCGGAAAATTCCCGTTTCCCCACATTCTTCTAGTGAGCTTAAAAGCACGAATCAATACTTCCACAAGAATGACTGATATCAACATTCGTATTCTACCTACTCTTTTCTATATCTATTCCAGTCTCAATATGATACTTCCACATGACCTTAAATTTGGAGATGTTAGCGAGTGGTTTCCACCAAAAAGACTGAAACATTAATCATGATAGTGAGAGAATGTCAATTGCTTCGGACTGCAGTACAGAGCAAAAAGTCCCGGAAGATTATGCCAAATAAATCTGGGTTGTTTGAGTTCGGATTCTTATTGTACTCACCCGCCTGACATAGGCATCTCTTGCCCATACTTCAAAGTCAAGCGTATTTCACAGTACGCTGAGCACCCCTCTTTACCAGGTACATTTGGAATTGGCTTGGAGCAGTAACATTTGCTGTCGAGCGTGTTCTTTTTGGGGCAGTTATAGTCGCTGATGTCTACCTTCATATTTTCTGCACTGACTGAGTTGTAAGATGAGGGGCTTGGACCGATATACCACTCCTTTAATAACGAACTTGCTGTCTACGACAGACATCAGATACGAGTTCAAAAGCAACTTTCATCTACCTCAACAACATATTCATCAAAATTCCTTCATGTAAGACTGAATAATAGACTCATCCTTAGCATCAAGGGTATGTCTCGGTTGTGTTCGCCAGTACAGCAAGGGGGACACTGATAGACAGCCTTTACAGGCGCCAACATGGCGATGGAGGGGGGTGAGTAGCAGATTGAAGAAGAATATTGCTACCTTAATCCTACAACATAATTTCGAACCTTGATATGCCAAGATGTTATTCGATTCAGAAACTCCTTTCTATGAACTCGAAATTTTCCTTGAGCCTGTAAGTTGCAGCACCAAGTTCTAATTTTACAAATGCCAAGAATATCAGGGAAGGAAATGGGATGGTTGTAAGGCTATGAAATCGATGTTTGCTATATGGGTCATTCATCATCGGTGATTATTGGCTGTGAGTTGCTCTCACAAGGTACCAAGATTGGAAGCTGGACAAACATTTGATGTAGTTAGTGACCATTAGACTTTCCAACACTGATCGTGGAAGTCATGAGGAAAGGACTCGCTTAGAATTCCTACCAATGGGTTTTCTATAGATCTTGGAACTGTGGATGCTGATTTGCCGAATGAAATGGTGGCAGTGCGAAGAAAGTGTCTGCGCCGCATGTGCCCCATACTCCTAGTATTGACTTCAAAATGGTAGCATTGATAACATCGTATGGTTTCTTATGTTGGTGGCACATAACAAAGGACTTTTGGTAAAATGAAGTATGACTCTCCTCGACCATGCGTATCATAACCTTAATTTCTTTTCTGTCGACATCCCCAGAATCACAGCACGATCTCTTCCTGGTCTAGAGCGCTTGCTGGTCAAAATTCGACTGAAACCACAACTACCTTCAAAGCTCTACCTCCAGCTTCGTTGTTCATCACTTGGTGTTTTCAACTTCACCTTGGAGTCCTGATATTTGTCAGGTTTCACCAGCTTTCACAATGTCAAACGACAGTTATTGCATCAACGACAACAATGGTATATCCAGCACTCTCGGCAACCAATCTGCTTGTTACTGGCCTTCTGTATGGACCGATCCAAATAGCACCGAGTTTGGCAACGTGTCAATTTCCGCGATAAAAGCATGTTGCGGTACTTCCGACCTCTTTGATTATCCGCTCAATGACCAATATAACTGCGTAATCCAGTATTGTCATTTCCCCCCACCGAATGGTTACGACAGAATTATGAGATGCCTCAATGATGTATTCCTCAGTGGCCGTTCAAGCATTCAGATTGACCTCTTCTGTACGGGGATGGACAAGATTGAGTCGATGGGACCAATTGTTCGAAGAGGCACAATCAATACGATTCTTTTGATGACGGCAGTGATTGCATTTGGGAGCTGGGCTCTTTGAAAAAAAATTTCACGAATTTCAAGAGATTGTGAAAATATTTGGTGGGACGATTGATCTATTCGTGGGTTATGATGTGGACCTACTGGTGTACGGTCTCGTGATACAGCGGATGTAGCGAGTATGTCGTAGCGGCGCTCGGTCTTAGCCTTCTGCAACAATTCTTCCTGTCTCTTGATACGTATATTTGATCGAAATTATGATGACATGAAACCGGATTGATGAGCTATCGAGATTTCTCTACTCTCATCATCTTAAAACCTCAATTCCATTATATTATGGCAAAACAAAGGCGGTGTAGGAAAATCATAATGGACAGCTGACCTGACCATATTCAAGCCATGGCGTGCAACTGCTCAGCCGTTCGAACGAATAACTCCTGTTTTCTTCATGATATTGGGCATCAAAAGTTTTGAATCTTGCACAGTCCATAAATAGCGGTGATGGAAGTCCTCTCAAAATATTCTTACACACCCCTCGACACCACCAAGCCTTCAATTCGTCTCCTCCGTCTCCAGCGCAACGAACAAGGTTCAATCAGCGGCTTGTTAGAAAGTTTTTCCCTTGATGATTCGGAGCGTCCAGTCTTTAGGACTTTGTCTTACGTTTGGGGCCCTAAAGTGTTTCCTCATAACATCTTTATCAACGGGTATCCGTTTCCTGTTTTGAGCAGTCTTCACCCATTTTTAGAGATCATCTGTGATGACGAAAAATTAAAGCAAAGTTGGTGGTGGATTGATTCAATTTGCATTGATCAAAATGTGGGACCAATTGCAGAAGTGGAGCGCAATATCCAGGTCGCTATGATGAGGAGAATTTACGAGAAATCAGATAGGACTATCGGCTGGCTCGGTCTGGGAGACGAGGAGGGCGAGCAAGCAATCAAATTTTTGAAGATATTAGCAAACCAAAAGAAAAGATTAGATTTGGTTCACCAAAGAAGACTAGCCGGTGACAAAAGAGCGAAAGAGGAAGAGCTAGGGAATGAGTTGAGTGATAGGAGCAAATGGGCTGCATTGGAAAAGTTATTATTGAGACCTTGGTGGACGAGAGTTTGGACACTTCAAGAGTATCTTGTTCCACGAAAATTCGTGTTTCAGTGCGGACAAGAGACCATAGATAGACGGAAATTGACTACAGCAATGAGTGCGATAGGCTCATGCAGGAGAATTGATGAGACATTGCTGGCTCACAAAGCATTCGAAGCTCCATGGATACGTCGTCGTGTATTTCATTGGTATCAAAGAGGCGCTCCGATACAATTGATAGGATTGATGGGATACATTTCGGATTACAAAGCTTTGGATCCTAGGGATAGAGTTTATTCTGTTCTCGGCTTGGCTGCGGATCGATTCTTGGCTGACCCGCCGAGATATCAAGATAGCTTTGAAGTAGTTTACTCAAATTTGTTCAAAAGTTTTGTTGAGAAACACAAGACTTTGGATATTATCTGCTTCGTGGACCGGTTCCATTGTTTAGAATATTCGCATGGCCAGCCAATACTTCCCTCTTGGGTGCCAGATTGGAGAGCTGATGTACAGCCATGGATGGTTCCTGCAATAGCTGCTCAAAGTGGTGCAAAACACGTTGGAAACCTTCGTCCTATAATGTTCCGGTATTCCAAGGGCAACAACTACGATGTTTTTATGGCTGGAAAGAGCAATGTCCCTCTGGAATACAATTTCTCCACCGATCTCCGGATACTGACCTGCCAAGGAGTCTTCGTAGATCTTGTCGACGGTATTGGCGGCCTCAAGGTAGTCTACACAGACGAAGATAAGACGAACGACGAACTCGCCGAGATATATCAGAGCGTCGAGTCAACAAGCATACATGGAACATCCAAAGCTTCTCAAAGCAACGCCGAGTTACTAACTCAAGCTGAATTGGACCCTGAACAGGTATCTAAATACATGGATCACATCTTTCGCTGCTTGATGCTGAACCGGCAAGACCGATATCTTAGTCAGGACATATCAGCCGAAGAATTTTCGTACCTAGAATTCCAAGCATTTTATTTCGCGGCAATGACAAGACCGGGTGATGTACATCCTCTGTTTCTCGATTGGTTTGAACGCAATCGGACACTCCGAATCGGTTCCCACTCACTCGAGCAGATATGCAAAGCGACACCACTTCCGAAGCCTGAGCTCTCCACTGATTATGATTTCATGGATATCTCAACCAACGAACAAGGATTTATTTCTCGTCTCAGAGATACCACCAAATGGATGGCGCGAAGACTTATGACCACCAACCAAGGACTCATTGGTATGGTTCCGTGTCGAGCACGGAAAAGCGATCAAGTTTGGATCCTGCTTGGATGTAGTATTCCGTTAATTTTGAGAAAGTGGGAGGATAATGAAGGCTATCAAGTGATTGGAGAATGTTACCTCCATGGATATATGAGTGGCGAAATTCAGGAAGAAGTCAATAGTGGAATCAGAATGGTCGAGGATATATGCTTGTTATGATAAACGAGATCAACTCTTCCATTAGTCCGGAGCACAATACGTATTTAAAAACTTACAAATTTTGAATAGCCAGGCAGTTCATACATCAAGTGTGAGCCATTTGGGTACTAAAATATACGTAAATTCCTCATAAAGTACTTGACTACCAAGAGTTCCGAGTGTGAAATAATCCATGCTGGTATTTGAAGGCCTTAAGGAAAAGCATAAATTCAACTACTCGACGTCCAAAGATTATTAACACGTAAGCGACAGTAGGAAATGGTACTCATTCATGAATTCGAGTACTCAACTCCCATGACCACTTCGCAAATATCTTAGGAATCATCCAATCGAAGAGTAGAACGCTATCTTATACAAACAAACAGTACATTGTAAAGACAAGGACGTATATATCGACCACACTCCGCCAATACATTACCCTAACCCAGAGAACAAGAGTCCTCGATTACAAGATACTATTGGAAGTAAGCCCTACAATTTAAGAACAATGCATGTCGATCCCAAAACGTCCAGCCGACTTCGGCCATTCCACGCCCCTGGACCATGGAATGCGTATGGCAACACAAGTACAAGAATCTATTGTGAAACTCGGTTTGCATGGGGTAAGTTAGTCATGGCACGGGATGACATGCGGGCTTCCGGACAGAGATTCTTTGGTCCATTGAAGTTTGGTAAGTATCCTGCACTAAGATCAAGTAGATAGGGATTGTGATTGTTGAAACCTGGTAGCTGTTTAATGGTCGATTGACATCACTTTCGTTTTTGTTTTTCCTTGTGTACTGGTCAGATTTATATTGTGCAAATCCCCGATTTATGTTACGCGGTATCAGTTCCCATCCGCTTTATGTTCTTATGTCCATTTATAAACCTCGGATATTACTCTCCTAGTTGTGCTCCGTAACTCCATACGACTCTCTCACTCCGTCCGGAGGTTATATCGTCCCGCACGCGCACAGAGCGCCATTTCAATGAAATTGGCGCTTTTAGACCTGACATGTGTAATGTATATTTTGTCTAGTGTAAGTAGTGATTTTCGTCTTTGAAAGTTTCGACAAAAGAGTATGAGGAAGTGACAGTTCTTTTGACATGTATGTGCTGGATGAGGAATGGCGTGGTGAAAAGAGTTGTTTCTGCTGCGAGGGACTGGAAACAAATTGCAGAGGATTGGTGCTCTTGTTTGTGCAGTAAGATGTGTTTTGTACCAGGTGGGTATTCGGTGAGTGGAGAATTCGTATAGCATACAGATTGGATCGAATAATCATGCACGAAAATAAGGCGAGCCTCATGGAGTGCAATTATCCAGAATCTGCTTTGCTGGCGACAGAAGACTCAATGGAAAATCCCCGAGTCGAATGCAAAGTATCATCCGTCAACGTGTTTACCGTTTCCACAGGACTCCTTCGTCTGAGGGTTAAAGGTACACTGCATTCTGCATTGAGCCTTCATGGCAAGGACTCCCAAACTTGTTTCTTCTAACGAGTAACACGAGATTCATATTGAATGCCGTGCGTTACAGATTCATCGTTGTCAACTTTACCATCTTTCATCCCACGCTGTGCTTGTAGATCAGATGGACCGCTAGGTCAGCCGTGAGAGCATAAGTGGAACTGTGAGTGTCCAATGACAAGGTTCAACTTGATATCTCAAACACACATCCTTCATTTTTAACAGCTGACATCATGTATAGAAGTATTGATGGCGAAAGAAGGTAACCCCAAAATGAGTTCATCTCCCAGTATTTCCGAAATCAAGAGATGTTATGATCAGATGATATGCTCTTCAGAGCCAAAGTAACTCAAGATAGGTATGCACTGTATGCATCTTCACGGCATATCCATTCATCGCAGTTGACATCCAGAGCCCAGGAGCTTTCTGCGTATGACTATTAACCATCTTGGCCAATTGACAAAGGCTCGGATACAAATGACAGCCTGGTAGGTATTGATAGGGTACTGTATCTTTGAGGCTTTGGAAGGTTACCAGAAGGGACAAGCATACAGATGTATCGCCCTATATTTGTGCTTGTGCCCGTTTGAAGTTTCTCAAGTACCCTTGTGTTTTCTTTGAATTCTCGAAACCATGTGCAAGAACCGGAAAGCCAAACCATAACGAATTTGCCCCCGTAAATTTATACAACAACCCTCCTTCCTGGCAGTTTTTAGGCTGAATTCCAAAGACTTTGAAAACGGCCAATAGAGTACACAGGGGGGTCGATTTTAGGAACCAAGATTGAATAGAGCGGGGTAGTCCCGATGTTACACACGAACGAGCCAGCCATTCATTCTCATCTTCGGCGGCGTACAGATCAAGCTTTTTGGAGATTACTGTAGGAAGGCCATTCAATCCAGCAACCCGGCGAGAGGGACCAATGAATTTCGACAATCACGGTTACCCAATTTTTTACCGGACGAACCCATTTTGAGCCGTCGGGGCTACGGCATTTTGATAAATTGTAATACCGAGATCTGTGGAAAGGAAATCACCTTTTTCATCCTAGATAACCGGAGGGTTTCTTCTAGAATGGGGGCGGAGCGTATTTCAACGGCTGTCACTGTTATGTTCTGATCCGTTGAAATTATTCTGTATCCCCTTCAATACACGGAGGCCCTGTTCGTTTCAGTTGCGACACCAAGCTAAAGGAGTAGGAACAAACTGGAGAGCACCATTTTTCCTTATCCACAAAATATCTTGGTGGCCAGCAGGAAAGGAAGAATATGGACCTCCAAGTCGGATGCATGGCCAATAACCATGTTTCTGGAGATGGAATGGTTTTGCGAGCCCTGTTTGGCTTAGTAGTGGCAGCATCTTTGCAATGTAACAGGATCCTCTTACCGAAAATAACTATCTCGGTTCATCGCGAGTAAGGTAACATATACTAAAGCTAATCCTCCGAATCTCCATAATGCTGCAAGGACCTTGGCTAACCAAAATTCTATCAGGATGCTGAAATTGCAAGTTTTGAAAAATTGGAGTTCGTGAGTGTAGGTAATTATGTACCAGGTGGTGGCTGAAGAATTTTGTTGAGCGAGTGGGGGACGTGGTGCAGAATCGACCAGGCTCTGCTTCCGATAAAGATTCTATTTTCTTCAATTTCTTGTCTAATTCAGGCCTCAGGGATGCCGAACACTGCATGTGAGAGTGACTAGACAGCATTCTTCTTGGTAGATATATGTTGTGATTATTATCTGGACGCTGCAGACCTTGGTTGTTGGCCATGACCTTCTATGCACCCATTTTTTCTTATTCAAAAAAGGAATAATGCCACTGATTAAGTTCAGTAATGGCCTGATTATTCCCTGCTCTGATAACCTTATGTACCAAATTAAAATTCGTTGATCGTTTGATAGTTTTGGGAAAGATCCGTTGCTGGGGTTGCTAGAAGATAGAATACCTCGGCATAAGTTTCCTCTTCAAGCAATTTAAACTCTGACTCTGTAGAACATGAGCTGAGAGAAAAGGAATCAAGGTACTACACCATCAGAGATGCATACCTCCATGGTAATAGGCAACAAAAGTTACAATAACTGAGTCTGTGAGGCAGCGTGAGCGGCGAGCGCAGCAGATCTACATCGTATTGAATCATTTTGGTAGGTTTATGACCTTGGCTCGAATCTCTAGAACGAATGATCGAAATCCACGATAACTTTGAGAAGAGAAGAGACAATGAAGAAGCAACAATGACGGGATATGCCCTGAAAGACCTCTCATGTCTCTCCGAGTCTGTTTGTTAGTCGGCCAATTGATAGTGAATGTGTATATGTCACCCTCTTCCGTGAAACGTGACACTAAAGCTCCGAAGCGGGAAGAGTACATGCACAGTGAAGATGATGCTTTTTCCATTAAGCCTTGAGTAAGGTCACCAGCAGCTACGCTTGCCATCCTCCCAATGGACGTAAGATCCAGGGAGTGGACAAGTAGAAGAACGATCCTCTGGATAGATGGCTTTCTTGCACGACCTTGCGCAACAGATAGAGTGATGATGTACTGGCGGTGTGGTGGTAAAAAGAGATGAGAGAAGAGGGGGAGGAGTAAAATGAGTATGTAGCACCAGAAACAATGGTAGCGGATGGTAGCGAGTAGGTGGGTATTGGTTAATGATTAGATGCATTGTGGATGAACAGCTCGGGGGTTTAAGCCATGGATCATAATTGTAATTCCTAGCTTTTTGACACCACCGCCCACCACTACCACCCACCACTACCACCCACCACTGTCTGTGAGTGCATCACCGGCATTGTGTTGGTATCTAGGTACTCGAGGAACTCAAGGTACTCAAGGTACTCTATATACTTTGCAGCTTTGCTGTATGTCGGAAAGAATTGATTGGGCTAGTCGGTCAACTTTTCCTTGCAATGAACTAGCCCCCAAAACTTCTGTGATTGATTGAGTATGCAAAAGCATCCCGTGAGAATCCATGCAAAAGGCCAATGAAAGTCGGCGAGCCTTTGCGTGTCGTAAGTAAGAGTCGTAAGTATGATGACGATGTGAATAGGGACAAACAGTCGATATCTCTCTCTCTCTCTCTCTCTCTCTCTCTCTCTCTCTCTCTCTCTCTCTCTCGTCGAAGCACCTTGGTGCTCCTCTGATATGATCGAGTTGCCATCTTCAAAGGATTTTTTAAAGTATTATAGAGTCGTGCAGATATATGTCATTATCAATTCTAATGCTAATAGTGCATAGTGCACGGATCGAAGAACGGGAACTAGAACTTTAGCGGCACCTTTAACATCCACTTCCAAATGCAACTAAAATGTTACAATCCCGGAGATGTTTCGAACCGTCAAACATCACAGCTGTACCCCTCAAGCCCTGTCAAAGACAAGACCAGAAAAGACCGCAAAAGCTCAAGTTCATTAACCCCAGCTGGCTAGGTTTAACCCCAAAAAAGAATCAACCCCTTGCCTGACACTTTATCCGCATGCTCAAAAACACGGAAGGTCGGGCTTGCTAAATTATGCTGCAATAGAAGTCGTCCGCCAGTCATTCATCGCAATTCAAGA